GATGGTGGTCTCATGGATAAGTTAGCGTTGGGTGCAGTGCAGCCCTAAGTGAGCCATTCCTGCAATCCGCTACACCGGTGTAGGGCTAACGCATAGAGGTTGTGCGAATGACATCATCGTGTATGCTTTGTATTGGGTGGCAAGCCAGTAAATGAAATCATTGTGTATTTATTTATTCACACTCACGTGGCACTAGCCAATGGAAAGGTGATGTGGGCGATAGCCAGCCATGGCGATAATATAGATGGGTATACTGAGTGGCAAAGCGGCAGTGGTTGTGATGCTACAGTATTCCTATTCCACACAAATGATCCCAAATGATGATGATCATGATGACTTTTTGTAGTTTCCTAACCTCCATTCATGGCATGAGGGGGGATTTTTACTGAATACGAATCAAAACTGCTAAAACTCTTTTTTCAAATTTCATTGTGCATGCAGTTGCTGTCAGTCTCAAGTAAGAACTAAGAAGGGTTGTTTTCTGTCTACGAAAATTAGTTCCAGATCATCACAAGTCTATGCATATGGGCTGATCACACTGCCCAGTTATGTTAGTTGGCTGTCACTGCAGGCTCCCAATGCCTACAATCGTACTTGTTGCTGTGCTGTTTTCCCTACAGGCTCCCGTGGCGTACACCTGGAGATGAGCTCTACCAACAGCCATGCGCTGGGTTTCTACAAGAAGCTGGACTTTGCTGAGGCCGCGCTCAGTATGGCCCAGCCAGAGGGCAGTCTTATTCTCTGCAAGTCCCTGTAGTGGTGGGCGACTCGAGTGTGCTCTTCTCCCTTGCAGATGTCCCCTGGTCTGCTAGTGTGAATTGTTTTTCAATTGTGATTTTAGAACCCGAAAGGATTCGGGATTTTTACTTGGTGTCAGGGTGTGACACGGCTGGCACGCTGGTGCCGCTAGGGAAGCTGCTTCACCGCCGTGTACATGGCTTGGAGGTAAAACAAAACTGTATTGTCCCCGATCTAAATGTTACTGCCCGTGTCCAAAGTTCGCTGATTCTCATTAGTGTTTTTCAACGCATGCAGGAGATAGGTGTTCTGACACATTCCTTTGCCACTGTCACTGCCAGGTTTCATGTATTTATCAAAATTCAAAAGTATAGGTCCACAGATTCTGTCAACTTTTGTTTAATTCCCCTAGCTGGGTGTTTCCCCTGAGGGGTTGTAGTATTTGTCTTTAAATTAAAATCGTTTCCATCTACGAGGGGCGTGCCAGCCATCGCTGTATTTATAGATTGTTATTTTTCCGGTTTGTCACTTGACGGCATTTTTTGGCTGGGCTTCCAGCGTGGGCCGTGCGAGCCGCCACCGTATTTTATATAAAGTGTTGTTTTTCAGTTTGTTACGTGATAGGGTTTTTTTGTGGCTGTGTTTCCAGCGTGATCACTACTAGCGAACATTATCTATATTTTAGTATTCGGTCGGTTTAGTTTACAAAACGTGTGTTATACATTGTTATGCTTGACCCCACAACAGTACATCGCACACCCAATTTGTCAAGCAGCAACAGCAACAAAAAGGCAAACCTGCCATTCCAGGCAAGGGGCATCCTCCATCCATGTTTATACCCACAAACTCCTGTGTCATCACACACCCAATTTGTCAAGCAGCAACAGCAACAAAAAGGCAAACCTGCCATTCCCCAGGCAAGGGGCATCCATAGGCGTCCCATCCATGTTTTTACCGCATCCATAGGCGTCCCATCCATGTTTTTACCCACAAACTCCTTGTGTGTGTGGGGGGGGGGGGCAGAAGATTTTTTCTGACGGCTTAAAAAATTGTTTGTGAACAGACAGGATCACCAAAGAAGAAATGTGAATTCTTTGCAGGATCTAGGATGAAGAGGCATCAAAAACGGCAATAAAATAGGCAACGAATACAAAATTATGTAAATGTGCAGGGAAACATGTTTTCTACATGGTCGTAAGCCATTTGCATGACAAAACTGTTCATCTATCAATTATCTCTATATAAATGCGGCATTCACTTCGAGTTCGATCATAGAATAGAATAGAATTTCATTCAGACGAGACAGTTTCATGGAAGCGTGTGTTTTGTCACCCACTTGTGTCCATGCAGCAAGACTAGTACTGGTTGTTATGGGATGCATTCAAAGTCTGTGTAGCAGCCCCCCCAGAGACACATACATGTACAGTAGTACCTTGTGCTGTCCAGACCACCGATACCAGGGACACAAGTACAGCAGCCCGGGCAAAAGGATCAGGGACGATGGCCGTGTGATTGTGGATGGCGACACATGCACTAAAAACGCTGGGGTTGAAACTAGGTTGCTCTGCCGTCCCGTGGCGGTTGCAGTGTGCACGCGCTATGCCATTCAAGACGCGTCCACGCGACGACGTCTCCTTGCCATGCACTTGCGCCACAACACAGCTCTCGTGCCGTCTATTTCTTGGCGGCCTTCTCCTGCGCTTTTCGCTTGGCCTTCTCGCGCACCTGGGCCAAAATCCAGTCAAAGCCATCCTGCAGAGTACGTCACAAAAGAACAATTTCGGACATGATCGTTTATCATGCCTGCCATTAAAGTCATCAACTGACAACTACAGCAGAGTCGCGCGTCCAAGAACGTGTCTAAGGGGTTAGCCTAGGGCGTTCTTATTTTTCAGCAATCTGGCTACGTTCTTATAGCACGATCTTAGAAATATGTGATCATATGTATCGCGAAAGCTGCCGGAAAACCAACACCACCGTTCTTAACTTTAGGCTGTGGCGTTCTTAGCATTTCAGGCTGGACGTTCTTCGGCGCACAACTCTACTGTATGCAAGACACACACCATAGATCTCTGCATGCATGGCATAGTTGTCTCCGCTTCCAACCTTGGACAGGTTGAACATTATATTTGACATCAGATTCTATCCATTGTCACCAAGACGTCACAAGAGTACATAAACCAGAGTGGGGAATTATTGTAGTGAGTGAGTGACAGAGCTGTAATTCGGTGATGATACCGCATTGACATGCGAACACCCAGGTCGTTTACTGTATAAGACTATAACTACAAATTTTCGTTTCGAATTAACTTTCGCTATATTCGTTAGGGGGCACGAAATAGCTAAAGTTTGTACCAAACTTTAAGTTTTTTTCTGGACGTTCGGGGTGACAGACCTCAACCAAAAACGAAATTTGGTACGTAACAAGCCTGCTAGTGGAGTGATCTAACGAAAGAATTCGTGAATGAAAATTTGTACTTATACAGTATGAGCAGTGTCAGGGTTGACTCACTCAGCTAATGTTAATGACAGGATCCTGTTCACCAGTGTCGTATGGACTCGAGGACTTTTGGTACCAGCCTTAGTACCCCCCCCCCCCCCACACACACACTTCCTGACCCTGGGATCATCTGTATACATACGCACGCATGCACCCCCCCCCCCCTCCCACACACACACACCTCAGACCTCAGACATGCCCATCGCGGAAGCGATGATAGCGAACAGCTATGTTAGACATAGCAACTTGTGCTGGGATTACACCATTCAACAGCTTGCAAGGCTGATGAATTGACCGCCACTATTTTTAGCCTGGTATCCACCACACAGCTGTTTGAAGTGACTTTACACCCACCCACAGTGACACACACGCACACGCGCTCACCCCCCCCCCCCCCCCACACACACACACACACTATATTTCTCTGTATTGTTGTTACCTGTACACCTTCGCCCGTTGTTGCGATGCATCCCTGAATCTGCCACGACCTGTCCTTTACTTTCTCCAACTGCAGCCCGGAGGCAACCTAAACAGAATACAGAAGCAGAAGCAGCACAGGCACAGCACACAATACACAACACATGTCAGTCCAGTGACGCCAGTTTGTCCCATGTCACGACTATTATTTTTTTGTTTTTTTGTTTTTTTGTTTTTTTGGTTTTACATCGGAAGCTCGACAGTGCAGCTGCACAAATATAATTTATTATAAGGCCATCATTTTTTATATCTATGTTTCGCGTCGTCCGCACGCATACGTTTTGATTTTTTCTGGAAAAAAATAAAATAATCAAACACGCACAGTGAGTGTACGATCGTGCGAGTCATCAGCGTTGACTGGTTGCATACGGCGAAGCTGGGATTCAGAATTGGCCTCGAGGCCAGCGTTGGTAGATCGTTTGTTCTGCATCTGCGAGCAGAATTCTTTGAGCTTACACCAGACCGCATCGATCGCCTCAAGCTGAGAGGATGTGTCGTTTCGGAGCTCTTTGCACCGCTGCTGAAGGCTGAGTACAATAATCCAGCGAAGCATGGGCACCAACGGTTGCCTCCTCTGTCCAAAGTGAATATTTCCTCTTGCTGATAACCCAGATTTTGTGCTTCGATGTACGATTTTTCTTTCGAATGTACACCATGCACGAGCTATTGACATAGTCAATAGACTATGTAGTATGTACAGTGCTATACACCTCTGATGATCCTTTTTTTATTATTTTGCAACTTTTTATTTTTTTCCGCCTCTCGCATACGATTCTGGAAGTTGACCTGACGCGAAACATAGATATAAAAAACGATGGCCTAAAGAGGCCGATGGGACCAAAAATAAAAATATATAAATGTTTAGAAAAGAAAAGAAAAAGGGGGATGAGTGGTGAACACAAAGAGAAAAGAAAAACGTATGCTGAACCTGGGCAATAAATAGCTGGTGAGAGGCTAGACGTTGACTAGTAACAATGTGGCAACAGAGACTCTAGGAAGAGCACATTCCCAAGACTACAAGCACAGTTGGGATCTAAACAGATAACAGAAGCACCGGTTTACACGCGTATAGCATGTACAGACTACTCGTGAAATATAAAGAATTAAAAAAGATCCATCTCTAGTGGTACAACAGTGCTGCTCAATGAAATAGAACGCGAGCCGTGTATTTTTTTACAGCGTTGTTAAAGTGCGTTGTGTGACGCCCGTACGTATAGCAGATCATCACTCTTGCCAGAATCCACATCATGCATACACATCATGCATACACATCATGCATACACATCATGCATACACATCATGCATACACATCTCAGGCCAATACTAGAACAGTCTCCAGTACAGTAATACAGGTCATGCGCCAATGCACCTTTCTCTAACCCGCTCCACTACACAAATCACGCTCAGCGTCTTCATACAGAGTGAACAGCAGAGCAATTAGAGCCGGTGCTTTTAACAGGAAGCTGCAAAGAAACTTTATCTTGAAGTCTGAAGCCTTCAAAACAACAATAGAATCCCATGTTCATTGGGGAGGGGGGGGGGGGGATACTAGGGCTGAGCCGGGTGGCATTTTCTTCGGGTATCGGGTTCGGGTAGTTTTCCACAGGTAGCACGGGATCCCTATTGGGTAATGTTTCCATGGTAACACCACAATGCACCCCTTCGATTACACACTGGGTAGACATGCAGAGTACTGTAGAACGGGTAATTTTAGCGACGTAAAAACCCTGGCGAATTTAGCGATCGACTCATTTTCGCTAAAGTTTCAAGTCGCTAATCCGTTGAGACATTAGTAGTGCACTGGTGATCCGTGAGTAAAATCGCTGCAAATCGCTAAAATAAAACTAACCGGTTGACAATGGGAAAACGCTAAAATTAATAGTCGCTAAAATTACCCGTTCTACAGTATTACATGAATTTGTACACGTGCACTGTACATGATGTCATCGGCGACTTCGGGTTTTCGGGTACTATTCTGTACCCGTGCTACCCGAGGTCCTCACGGGTAGCACGGGCACCCGACTACCCGTGAGGACCTCGGGTAGCACGGGCACCCGACTACCCGTGAGGACCTCGGGTAGCACGGGTGCCCGACTACCCGTGCACACCACTAGGAAATACGGTACTTCAGTAGAAATGCGAACTGGACCACCGAAACCTGGCAACTTTGTGAATAACAACCCCAGCCATAACACCAACTCGACAATATAACGACACTATCTCCAGACCTAGAGTAACTCATTCAACTGCATACTTTCAACCTTGCAAATAATCATGTTTCTCACCCCGGCCGTGGGTCCTTATTTGCAAGGTTGACGCGAATAACAGCAGGTTTCCGAGTCATCCCCGGCCGAGGGTCCATATTGCACGGTTGACTGGAAGTGATACTAATACCTCTTGCAGCAAGTTTATCTTTCCAGCACACCTACAGACTCAGCACGCTGCCACTCACCACATCCGGAGGTTCCGACGAGAAGAGGTCCTGCTTGTTGGCAAACACCAAGACTGGTACCTGTGAGAGAGACTCTTCATGCAGAAGTTCGGCCAACTCCTGAAATACACAAACACCGATATGAAGTAAAATAAACAACATCAACAACAACAACAACAACAACAATAACAACAACATGCGCATATCGCGCGTGCACACACAAACACACACCCACACACACAGAACATGGACTAAATACTGTACAGTGGAGATTGGATATAAAGACACTCCTTCGGGAGAGAACAAAATGTCACTATATTCGATCCGTCACTTAACCCAATCTTCACAAAGGACTTACTAAACGACTTGGGCAACAGAATTGTGTCGCTAAACTCAATCTATCGTTATATGCAAGGTCGTTATATCCGATCTCCACTGTATATCTGTATATAGCTCCCTTGCTGTGCCCTTAGCTAGAGGATTCAAAGTCCGAGTGGACTTGGAAACATAGCCCCATGTATGGGCTCACTACAGCCATGAAAGCGGGCGAGGACAAAGTACAGAACGGGTTTGGCAGACTCGGGGATCTGCAGCGGGATCCATACACCTCCGTCCGCAAATGAATGTACAGTAAAACCTGGGTTAAGCGACATCTGGTATGGTATTAGCAAACACCTAGTATTAGCAACCATGTTTCCATGCACGGGCAGTGCTGTAAAGAAACTGCACCGGAATCAGCGACCACCTGCATTGCACGACCAGCGGCTGACTTTTAGTGTCCCAAGTGCCATATCTGACCTGCATGCAGCGACCAAAAGAGCTGTCCTGGCTGGTAAGCTTGACTGCAACCGGGTTGAAGTGCGCTCAGAAGCGAGTGCATGCAGCGACCAAAAGAGCTCGGTCCTGGCTGGTAAGCTTGACTGCAACCGGGTTGAAGTGCGCTCAGAAGCGAGTGCATGCAGTCAACGGAAAGTGACAAGTGGCAGTGCAGGGTGTCGGCGTTGCATGTACTTGAGGTGAGGCGTCACGTGAAAACTCATGGGTGCTTCGTCTGCATGAAAGTGTTTTATACCCAACGACTGTGAATACAAGTGCATGGAAGTGTGTGGGTGTGAACCGTCCAGCATGCCACATATGCATAGGACCTTATTCCGAAGACCACCTGGCTTAAACGGCCCCTTTTGCTCCCGCCGTGGGGTTAAAACCGCTTAAACCAGGCAGGTTTTACTGTGGTATTTGATACATGTATGTGTGTCACAGTGGTGTGGGTGGCGTGGGTGGTGTGGGTGGTGTGGGTGGCGTGGGTGGCGTGGGTGGTGTGGGTGGTGTGGGTGGCGGGGGTGGCTATATCAAAGTGAATTTGATAGGCTTCACTAGCACCATAGATTGCACAAGGTTCGATCCGTGGGCCAGAAGTAGCCCATTGGTAAACACTAAACAGACACATGTACGTATACTTCAACTCAGACTGAGCAGGTGGAACATGAAACGAACAAAGATGACAGGCATAGCAGTATACCTTCAAGCAGGTGAGCCCGATGGCATGGGTCCGTTACTTGCTGGTTGTTACTTGCTGTTACTTGCAAGTAGCAGACCCAGTCCGGATTATCTGGAATAGCTGCATAACTGCACCCTACAGCCCCCCCCCCCCCCACACACACACATATACCCCAAGGGCCAGTCTGCAAGGAAGCACAGCGTGAGCAGTACTCAGCGGCTAGAGCAACTGCTTACCGATCCGCTTTCGTTTAGCCGTCTCTTGTCAGAGCTATCGATCACAAATACCTGCATAAAGTGCAGAATCAACAGCAGCAGCATCGTCAAACTAGCCCATAACCAATAAGCTATGTTGTGCAATATGCATGATAATATTATCATAAGTGAATTCATGTGGTTATGACATCATAAGATAACTCATGCAGTCACGGCACCACAAGATGACTCATGTAGTTATGCATCATAGGATGAAGTTCGTCAAATCACCTCTCGATAATGCCGCAACTACAGAAGGAGGGCAGAAAAAGGCCAAGGCACGAGAATTTAATTCCATTCTTCATGGATGTGGCAAATGGGATGTAGGCCTTTGGCTAGTGGTGAAACGAATATCAAAACCCAGTAGCCGAATATTCTTCGGCTTAACGAACGAACGAACGAATATTCTTTCGTTAACACGGATGACATCACATGCCCTCCTCTCAGTCATTTTATTGGATATTGTCACTATTATTAGGCATGACGAACGAAGGCATATATTTCTCCATCATTTCTAGGTCATTTTTCACAAAAAAATCCCCAGCTGAAGTGCCTTTCACAGGCTCAAAAAACAGCTTGAGACGTGATTTTCGTTCGAGCGCCATACCTCCCCTCCAGGACCTCGGATTGCGTTCGGGTGGCTTCTAAACAACAGCTGAAAGTTTGCTAACGCCGATAGATCTTTCAATGAAGCGATTCGGTCAAGTATTCACGAAGTTACGAAAGTTTGAAGTCGCCCGGTTGATTCTGCATACCGGGTTAACGAATATTCGCCATGAGAAATATTCGTTCGAATGTGTCAAACCGAACGAATATTCGAACATTCGGTATATTCGTTTCACCACTACCTTTGGCCTATGGTTGGTGGATCTGATCTATCCTCCCCCACTGTTTAGGAGCTACATCTGACGCCTGATCATGGGGTGGTGGCTTCCCACGGAAGCGGAAAGGTGATTCTTGACCAGGGAGTTGTACGACTCCTTGTTCTTGACCTGCCCGGTACGTGAACCCGTCGAATTTTTTTAAAATCTGCCCACAGTGCAACAAGAGACGCGTATCAATGACACTAACTACGGCGACGTACCAGACAGTCGGTGTTGTCAAAGTAGTGCTTCCAGTACGGCCGGATGTGACGCTGGCCTGAGGTGGAACCATGACAAAGAAAGGAACAAAAGATGACACAGTTAGATCATGAACACCGACAAGAATCGCCAAGAGCCACAGTTAGTGCCGAGTTCTGGATCAGTTTGAGTGTCTCCCCGAACTGTAGTAGGGCACTCCACTGAGCGGAGACATATTTTCTCAAGCACAGCCCCTGCGGCTGCTGGGGAGAGGACTCCAACACCAGCAGGCTTTGCTGGCGTCTCAGTGCGGAATAAGCATTGACTGACTTCTTGCTATCAAGCATTTTTGGTAGTGGTGAAACGAATATCAAAACCCAGTAGCCGAATATTCTTCGGCTTAACGAACGAACGAACGAATATTCTTTCGTTAACACGGATGACATCACATGCCCTCCTCTCAGTCATTTTATTGGATATTGTCACTATTATTAGGCATGACGAACGAAGGCATATATTTCTCCATCATTTCTAGGTCATTTTTCACAAAAAAATCCCCAGCTGAAGTGCCTTTCACAGGCTCAAAAAACAGCTTGAGACGTGATTTTCGTGCGAGCGCCATACCTCCCCTCCAGGACCTCGGATTGCGTTCGGGTGGCTTCTAAACAACAGCTGAAAGTTTGCTAACGCCGATAGATCTTTCAATGAAGCGATTCGGTCAAGTATTCACGAAGTTACGAAAGTTTGAAGTCGCCCGGTTGATTCTGCATACCGGGTTAACGAATATTCGCCATGAGAAATATTCGTTCGAATGTGTCAAACCGAACGAATATTCGAACATTCGGTATATTCGTTTCACCACTAATTTTTGGGAAACTCTCCACTGTCAGCATGCACAGGTCTTTTCATCTGGGACTGCTTCGCACCAATGCCGCGGCGAAGAAGCTACACACCTGCGCTAAGTCAGCACCTGCCAGCCATCGTCCACTAGTGTCGTATCTTAGAACTGGACATGGTGCAATGCTTCACGCAAGTCTCACTAGCCTATGAGTATTGCTATAAACCACTTGAAGCGTGGCAAGTGCTTGCACTACAGCCCTTGGCAAGTATAGAAATGCGTTAAATTCGGCACATTCAGGTCATGAGTCAGTGCACACGGCGCAGGCGTACTTTGATGTGTTGCGAGTTTCGGCGCACTGAGGTGCAGGTTGCGTTTTTGTTGGCCCTTTAGGTGTTATGTATTGTTGGTGTGGTGTGGTGTGCTGTGCAGCGTGGCGTCATAGTGCGTGGACCCAGGACATGTGACATGCATGTGGTCTTAATAGCAGTGCTGTGTGAGAGACTCCTGGAGAGTGTGAGTCGTCAATTCCAGTCACTACCGGCGGACGTGTCACCAAACTGTGAAGGAAAACACCCAAACGTACGCGGACCCACAAAAAAACTGGATTCAAAAGTCAGCGGTATCAGGACTCCGGTATGGCTGTGACATAGCACTTGCAAACCCTATAGGGTTCGAAAGTGCTATGTCACAGCCAGCCTGTAGTCATGGCAACGCTGAATTTTGGATCCACTAGGATCTACATTACAGTAATGTAGTCTTGTGGGGATGCATACACCACCCGGCACTTGGGTGAGGTTCCTTCATAGCAGGGTTCCTTCATAGCAGGGTTCCTTCATAGCAGGGTTCCTTCATAGCAGGGTTCCTTCATGGCAGGGTTCCTTCATGGCAGGGTTCCTTCATGGCAGGGTTCCTTCATGGCAGCAGGGTTACACATCCGTCGGTAGTCACTGGACTTGGCACCCCTGGTCGGACGCCCACTCCTGCTACAGAACAAGTCACACCCATGAATGTCACAAGGGACCTACTCACCCTTTGGCACATGTGCACACACACACACACACACACACACACACACACACACACACACACACACACACACACACACACACACACACACACACACACACACACACATGTGCGCACGCAACCAATGACCCGGACAATTCCATTGGCAACATGACGTTCCACAATCACTGTCGTCCCATGGCATGAATGCAGACATTGACTTACCGCCGATATCCCATACGTTTAGAGAGAAACCAGAGTTCTTAACGCTCTTGATGTTGAATCCCTGCAGACCGTCGGGAGAAGAGCAAGCAGACAGCGGGAGAGCAAGAAGAAATTCCATCATAAGTTCCCTGTCAGTGACCATCCATGAGCAGGAGCATGCAGAAGATCATGTGTGTATCTTGTGGGGATTCTGAATGGCCTGAGTAAAACCCTGATTGTTTGGTTGAACTGGCATCGATGCCATATAACACATGCCTAAATAGCAACCTATAAGCCCAATGCGCATTGCCGACTAAGGAATACATTTTTGTAATGCTCTGAGATTCAGAATGCATGCAGTGCTCAACACCGTACACAACAATTCACTCCCTCCTTCCCTCTCTGTCTGCAACTTGAACTCTCTGCCTCGGGCTGGCTCTCTGTCCGTCTCTTTCTGTCTCTCTTCCCTCCCCCCCCCCCCTCTCTCTTTCTCTCTCCCTCCCTCTCTCTCTCCCTCCCTCTCTCTCTCTCTCTCTCTCTCTCTCTCTCTCTCTCTCTCTCTCTCTCTTCCCTCCCTCCCTCTCTATCTCTCTCACCTGCGTAGGTGTGATCTGTGTGACGTCCTCCGACGCCAGTTGCTTCAGGATCGTTGTCTTGCCGGCATTGTCCAGACCGAGGAGGAGAATTCTCACTTCTTGGTGATCGCTGCCGCGCAGCTTGCGCAACATTGCAAGCAGACCCTGCCGGTGGTGGTGGCGTGTCAGGCAGAACAAGTACACATTGGAGAGTTAGGGAACCGAGAATGGGCGTTTACAATAGTATGCTAGCTTCCAGATCCACACTAGCAATCCCCAACACCCTAACACCACGGCAAAGCCTAACAGACGTTGTCTGCGGAATCGAAGCATGCTCCATTGATTCATTTCATTCAGCTACTCTCATATTTGTGCAATTGATAATTTTGCTCCTGAATTGTCATCCCTGTTGCTTTGCTACCGTCCTCCTCCTTCCTCGACCCTTTTCTTAATTAACGCCATTATCGCATTCGTCTCCATGTAATTGGGCGTGTAGCCCGTGTGTACTTGCGAATTCAAATAAAAATATACATACATACATATACTTGCTCACTTTAAAACTATCCTCCAGAAGCAAATGAATGTTTATCTACACGTCTGGATGCTGAGACCAATACTGTACTGCAGCTTAAGAGTGAAAGACTCGGTGGCTATTTCGTCTGAAGTTCGACTCAGCCCAACGCTCACTGACGTTTTCAATCACATCAACATTTCTGAGAGTCTCTCAAGTCACTACTAATCTAGATCCGCAAAGTAATGTGGGCCAAATATATCACATTAGGCCAGTGTGCGACAGGCCAACACATGCAACGGACACGTATTTACCACCTTCACTGTGAGGTAGGACTATCAACACCCGTTTTAATAACATAGAATGCAGTGAAAACCTGTCAAAGTGGCCACTAAGATAAGGCGATCACCTGTCCCAGATGACCACTGCAACTAGGACCAAGCCAGATGCTATTTCCAGTCAAACGACTCTGAATTAGGAGACCACCTGGCAACAGAGACCAGGGTTTTGAAGGTCTCTTGAGCGGTCATCTTAGACAGGTTTCGCTGTACGATAGATTCAAGCCAGACACAGGCCAGACTGGTAGTACCAGCTGAGAAGAATGGTGAAAATGCATAACGAGAGTTACAGTAGCTGAGGGGCCGGGGGTTGACAATGCCTTGCAAGCTCACGTAGCGCACGGTCCCGGCAACTACGACCATGGACCACGGGTGTAAGTGACCAGCCATCATCATACAACCAAACGCAGGACGATCCAGTAATCAGTTTTTGGTAGAGTGCAGTGTGCTGTGTTTTAGGTGTTTGTGAACAGGAAAGGGTGCGTGTGAACGCGCGCGCACGCGTGTGTGTGCGTGTGTGTGCGCGTCTGTGTGTGCAAGGCTCCCCAAGCATGTGTATCGAGCACTCTCGCCAGCAACCTCAACTCGCTTCAAGTGTAAATACCGGCACACTGGAGCCCCGGGTTCGAATGGAAGCAACGACTGAAAGAGAGCTGTGCGGAGTAAAGCAACGACTGAAAGAGAGCTGTGCGGAGTAAAGCAACGACTGAAAGAGAGCTGTGCGGAGTAAGCAAAGAACGCCAGACTTGCTAACGATGAATCATGCTGTGTGTTGTGTCGTTCCTATCCCACGTGAGCAGCTACAAAGTCAGTAGACGACTGTTTAGGCGCCCGGCACGGGACGTTATCCCAACTTCTTACCATTTTTATAATTATTTTCTTCTTGCACTGGCAAGTCAACGTTCCAACTCCGCTGGCCTCGCTGATTCCAGGGCGATTTTGACGAAAAGTTTCGCGGTGAGGCCTCGCAGACGGCTACCGAGCGGTGGGGTTGCTCAAGCAAGTAAGTAGGAGTGGAGAGAGCACAGCAGCTCTACGTGCTAGCGCAGCATCGAAGCCAAACCCAGCAAGGCAGTTCAACCAGACTCCAGAGTCCAACTCATCAAATGTAGGATTTGAACTTTCGTCTCAGGAACACTGAGCAAACTAACTGCTTACTGCCGTACCCAAGCCCAATGCACACACAATAATTTTTGAAGAGATTATTTTCTTTTTGAATTTTGTGCCCCAACCAATCATTCCAATGGCAATGCATATGCATGCAATGAATGTGGCGAACCGTGCCGACTTAGTCTTTAGAGTTTAGTTTAGTCTTTACTCTCTTCAACTCTTGACTTGTCTTTGTCACTAGTCTTTGCTCTGTAACCAGGTAACTGTTTTTGATTTGTGCTGCTAGTGCCAAGGCAGTAATGTCTACTAATGGTGATCATGGTCATGCACGTCTTTCACCATAAATGCATGATTGTACTCTTGCTATTAGTATTACTTATTAGTAGTACTACAAAACCGTGTAGCCGTCAGCCTAGCAGCTACAGTCCAGTATGTACAGCCTAGCGACTCGTACTCGTAGGTCTACTACTCGGACAGGATCTAGGAGTCGAGTCAGGAGCGCTCGAGCGAGCGCTCGAGCCAGCTTGCGGCGCGCGCCAACAGCGGTCACCATGAACACCGGCACCGCCAACACAAAGCACCGCTACGAAACCGTCGTCATGGTTTTTGTGACAAACCTGTGGCAACTGAAATCCGACCCCGTGAGCGGCACGTTCACTTTCTGTACTTGTAGTGGCCTCTATTTCGTACAATCAAGAGGCCATGCCGGGTCTTTGCGATGTGAGCGCAGCGCTCAGGTGGTCGGATTTTAGTTGCAAGCACGACTAGACTCGACTGTCACTGATCATGTACATGTCACATGATACAAATCCAGCTATGTCGAGATATCTACTCTGGTCATCATGTCCATCGAGTCGAGTCGTTGATGAATGATGCATGATGATGGTTTCTGGTTTCACGATTTTTGACTGTTATGTCATTCTAATCTAAATGCAAATGGAGCACATTCGGACTCGGAGGTAAATACGAGACTGAAGAGCTTTCTGGGAGAGTGTAATGTCTGAGAGATGATGGTCAGAATAGAGAGCAATGCTTCTTGGAAGTTTGACCATGCAGCCCGTCTCCAAAGTGATTTCTCTGGACGACGATAGTGACGAGGACGATGACTGCCTGATCACCTGCATCAAGCCCCCTAGTGCGATGCCTCCGCAGTGTGTGAGTGAGCGTCCATCAAACAAATCAATTACTACCAGATATCCAGTCCCGGTGTTTCGTGATTGATTGCTCTATGGGCAGTATGGCTTCGCACGGCCGATTAGAATGGCACTAGATTTTGTTTTCAAATCGAGCCTCAAACTACTGAATTCATGCATTGTTCACATGATCAATCAATCAGTTGCTAGTACTAGTAGTAGGTTCAGTTTTGTAGTTTACTACGCATTTTCGTGACGCACATAGCCCACGGCACGTGTAGGTGTGGGTATGCACGCGCGTGCGTGTGTGTGTGAAATGAAAAATGAAAAAAATATGAAAACCAGGGATTCACTGGCCCAGAAAAAGCCGCTTCAATCAGCTGTGGTGTAGACCAGGCTAAAACCAGTGACGGTCAATTCATCCGCCTTGCAAGCTGTTGAGTGGTGTATTCCCAGCACAAGTTTGTTCGCTATGATCGCTTCAGCGATGGGCATGTGTGTGTGTGTGTATGGTGTGGTGTGTGTGTGTGTGTGCGAGAGGGCGTGTGTGTGTGTGTGTGTGTGTGTGTGTGCGCGCACACGCGAGCAGAGTAGAGAGACTGGCTTAGCTAAAGACTGAAGAACTATCACCAGCATTTTGATACATTGCTTCCAGCAGTATGTGGCAAACAGCACTCGCCAGATAAACGAAAGGAAATACATGGCGAACAGCTACCGCCCCTTAGGCCACCAAAGTTCTGACCACTGAGCCTATGGTGTAACCGCCATCCAACTGGAAATGTCTGCCTGTTCCGTCGCTGAATTTCGCTCTGTCTTGTTAGGGATGGGTCACTTGCTTGGAATGTCTACGTCTGCACAAAGGGTTTCCTATGGCTTTGGTATTGTTGTTGTTGTTGTTTCGAATCATTATTCTCACGATAGCCGGTGGCCAATAAGAGATATTTGTGTTGTTGTAGGTGTTGTCTGAACGTATGTGTGTTCAATGTCACTGTAATTCTCATTGTGTGTCTGCTCAGGAGTTGCTGTCGTGGACGCCGCAGAGTCGCGCACTCTCGCGTCCGACGACGACGGCTGTGGCTGTGGCTGAGGACGGCGGTGACGGTGACTCGTCATCAGACGATCTGCCGTCGGTGTCGGAGGTGTTGCGTGGCGGCACGGCCTACCTCAAAGGTTCACTTCTGGCTGGCGAGCCCCGGACATCGCCGGGCAACGCTGCCGTCACTTGCATTAAGGCCGACGACGACAAAGCGGATTTCATCGACGAGGGTGCCGTGTTGAAAACGGCCACGGTGCGTCACATTGCGCGACTTTGCGCGGACAACCACTATAGCACCCGGCCAGTAAGCACCTCTTCACGTTTCATTTTATGTACTTTGATGTACCGTGCGTGTAACAGTTGAGTGAAATGCACCTCCAAGGACTGTGTAAGAAAATTTATTTTATACTTAATAGTTGAGGTGCTGCATGGTGCATGCGTAGTTGGCAAAGTGGTGACAGCATTTGCCCTCCAAACATGAGGTCGTGGGTTCGATTCCCAGTTTCAGCAATCGCTTTTGAAAGTTGAGTGGTATTGCGCGGTGATCCTAGAGTAAGAGGCTACTGGTCGTTGCGCCTGCCGACCGCCGCGGTGTCTGTGTGTGTGCGTGTGTGTGTACGCGTGTATGTGATGTGTTCCCATGCACCCTGTGTGCTGTGTCCCCTGCAGGGTTATGGCCCAGAGATTTCCTGCTCTCGTGTCGAAAACCAGCAACACACGCGCCAGCAGCCGTGCCGAAAGCACGCAGCTAGAAAGCAGCGGGCAGTTGCACTAAAATCGCCTCAGAAATCACCACAGTCAAGCCAGGAGAGCAAGCAGCGCGTTCAATTAGAGATTCAGCAGCAGCAGCAGCAGAATGAACACTTGCGACTCCTACAACAACAGCAGCTACGGATCCAGCTGCAGCTGTCACAGTGTACACAACCACAGGAGCAACAGGACCAACAATCACACCACCATCATTCTGACCATCAACAGCAACAACAACTGCAGCAACTACAACAACAGCAGCAACAACAACAGCAACAACTACAACAACAGCAGCAGCAGCAGCCACAACAACAACAACAACAACAACAACAATGTTATCTACTACTGTTGCAGCATTCGCAGCATGTGAAATTCCCACCTGTGACGTTATGCACATCCAATCTAGGCTTCTCTCCAACGAGTATTCAAACCACAACTGTACCCATTGCAAGTGTTGCTGTCTCTACACCCGGCTCTTCCACCACCAATGTGCCGCGTAGCGTTACTTGCGAACCAATACCTGCGAATCAACGCACTCGCCGCCGCATGTTGCCGCACACCGGTAACCCAACCAAACCTGTCCCCGGAGCAGCCGCGAGAACCGATACAGCACTGGCAGCACATTCACCGGATCTGGTCGAAGTTATTCGACGTCTAGCCCAGCGAGATACGACCGGCATGCACGTTGCCGCGCCGCCTTCGATGACGGCACTGGGCAGGGACATGAAGTCGTCGCCGTCGATCATGTTGGTAATGCCACTGTATGGCCGCAGCAGCGACCACGGCGCTGAGACACGCGTGCAGTACATACAGGAAGCACTGGCCCTGCTCGACGCCGGCATTGGTCTGGATGCACAGGTGCGGCGTACACTCGCGGGCTGGCTGTGCGGTGGTGCCAGGCGTAGTGGGACCGATGCTCCCCGCCTGCTGTGCGTGCTGTCGAACGCGCTGTGGCGTTGCATGCAGCTGGACCAGCAGTCTACGGCGTGTCTGGAGTGGTGGTGGGAGACTGCTGAAGAGTTCTTCTGCTCGTCGTCGACAGCATGGAGCAGTGACTTGGCTTATGCAGCTGCTCTGGAGTTGACAGTAACCGGCCTCCAATGTAATATCAAGTACAAGCAGGGCCGCGCTGGTACGTTTCCGTTCTGCCCGCTGAAGCACCGCAAGCGTGTTGTGTGGGCTATCGAGGCATTGGCGGCGACGTATGCTGGTGCAGTGCCACCATCACCACCAGCAGCAGCAGCCACGGCTCTGGTGCAGTGCCGCCGCTTGCTCTGCAGTCTCCTGTCGTTATCCGTGCTTCAGTACTCTGCTGCCGCTGGTGCTGGTGCTGCGCTTGAACATGGTGACCGGCAACTCCTGCAGCGCGTCCTGTGCGTCTCGCAAGATCTCATGGTGGCATGCAAGCAACTCACGCCCGCCAGTCGCAACCACCTTCTCCGCCAGCTCCCTGAATGCCTGGCCTTTTGCACGGCACGCATGCTGTTAAAGGATACGCGCTGGAGCGGCGCCAAGCGCGTCTCCGAGGTGGTCTCCGTGAACGGCCTCATGCGCGAGTATCAGAGAGTGTTTGATTTGAGAATGGCGCCGGAGGTAAGAAGCAGTGTTGCACCATTGCTGACACTTCTCGTCCGTCTTCTGCTCAGCGCTGACTGTCATCTAGAGCCAAGTACCGTGGTGTGGCTGAGCGGCTTCGATACTCAATACCCAATGCTGATTCTCCTCTTGGCGACGCAGCTAACAACTAAGTAACAAGGTGAAAAACTCAAAAACCATTGTCAGCCTGTTGTTGTCCATGCTATGGCCGTGCTCTCTCTCTCTCTCTCTCTCTCTCTCTCTCTCTCTCTCTCTCTCTCTCTCTCTCTCTCTCTCTCTCTCTCTCTCTCCTTCCTTCCTGTAGCCTAACTATTTTACCTATTTTTAACCCTGTTCAACCAGTGAGGTTGGTTGTTTGTCCTCCACATGAGATCAGTTTTACTCCAAGCCCTGTATCCAACTTGATGTCAGCTATAGAATTGGATTCTTCTTCTTTATCAGTCTCTCTCTTTCTGTGTGTCTGTGTGACCCATTTGTTTTTTTAGTACGCTGAGCTGGTCTCAGCTAGTTGTTTTGATCCATTCGTACTGTATCTCGCACTACATGCCACGGCCATTGGGCAATGCCAGTCAGCGTTTCTTTCGGCCAACCCTGTCGTAGCTAGCGACCAACTGCATCGCTGAATGCTATGGCCGTCACCAGATATATTGCCCTCTAACGTCACATCGTAATGTGTTGTACCTTGTGCAGTCTCTGGCATGATAGCTACATTTCGTATCATTATGTTCTTGATGCGGATGTTTTATCGGTGCGGCGCAAACCACCTGGTGTTTCGCCGACCGCTAGTGTTTTAGAGCTCTGAGGCACAGTTCGAATATTTAAAAAAATCTCTAGTCTTTTCTCATTCTAGTTTTTTCCAGTAAAACTTACCGGCAACTCGTGGTATTCCCATTATGGCATTATTGAGAGTGTGTATGTGTGAGCTCCTGCATGCTGGGTCTGGGTATGTACGTATAGCAGGGTAGGTGCAAGTATGTGCCCCAGGTGGTCTTGTTTGCTCAAGCCTGTGCATTTGCCCGGTAGATACAGTGCTGTTCAACGAAATCCAATCTAGTGAGTGAACACCACGCCGGCCAGCCGTGGTGGTTCGCAATCCGGCACCATGCATTTGTGCTACGGAAACTCTGCTGGATGGTGCTGGGTGAACAAAATAATTATGATTTGCTGCTACAGTGTACCTGAAGAAGCGCTTGTTGGTTTATAATATTGAAAATAATTATGTTGGTCTATGTAAAGTGCTGGATGAGGAACGACTGTACGTGTATATATGCGTTGGCATTTGCCTTGGATAATAGATACTGTAGTGTCTTGTATTAATTAAAGTCTCTCGTATTGAAGCCTGTTTTGTATAAAAGCCTGTTTTGAATACAAGCCTGATTTTTAAGATACACAGTCAGCACATAAGCCTGGTTTTAGTGTTGACATACATCGAGATAGGTGGTGTGAATAGAAGCCTGACTTGAATAGAAGCCCAGCACTGATATCGGCGTATACGGCCGTTAGCACCTGCTTTTATACGCGACACTACGGTAAGCAAAGTGCACACGGTGAGCTGCTGATTACTAGTATCCGTCTTCAATGCATGGCTGATGGAGAGCAGGACATGCCTGTGTGCAGCTCCTGCCCAGCTAAGTAAGGACAAGGTGTATGTTCCCCATGTTATCTCAATCTGATTTCACGCCTTTCAGGATCTGGTAGTGTGTACGTGGCTGCAGTCAGTACGGCAGTAGCTCATGCAGAACTGTATAATTGTCATGATAAAGGTGTGTAAAAGGATGCAGGCTGATGTCTGGACAAAATGAGGACATCCCAGCCTGACCGCATGCAGACACAATGACACCCTCCATACCAAGTCTATTCCGGTACGCACTGTGCGGTCTTGCATGTAGGTAGGTGTGTGTGTGTGTGGGGGGGGGGGGGGGGGGGGGGTGTACAGTCTGCTGAGTAATAGTTGTAGGTATGACAAAATCAGCATTATTATTACCAAGAGTAGAGGTAGCGGTACAAGCACATGTGCATCATAGTACTTTGAACAGCTACAGTCGACTCCTGGTGCGACGAACACCAGAGTGCAGGAGACTTAGTTCTTTCTAGCGGAAGTTCTTTGCAACAGAAATGCACCCACACAACCCCCAGCCATACAAGCAGCAAGTCATGACTGGCATGTGCCCAGTAACAGTACATGTATGAGTGCGCCTGGTTTACATGCGGCCGTACAAGATACGGTTCGTCGTAAACAAAAACTGTTCGCAGTAAAAGGGTCAATTTTCTATCATGGGTTCAAACAGGGACATGGACGCTGGGTTCGCTATATCACGGAATTAGCTATATGCATGGTCGCCTATGCAGTCAAAATACAGTTATATACGGCAGGGGACGGCACCCTGGCCTCGGACGGCAGCCGTGCATGCTACAAGCAAGGACAGCCGACACTGAGAAGCCGATCAGCTTTGACGTGGTGTTGGTATTATGTTAGATACTCTTCGGCAATGGTTATTAAGTAGAAGATAATATGCTAGCCATTGATACGCCTGATCATAGAAAACAAAATGGGCAGCGAGAAAAAAATAGTTAATTCCACTTGAGAGGTACCTGATTAGGATAGCACGGTATCGATTTGTACAAGACACAAACAATATAAATCTCTGAGAGAAGCACCGCCTGAATGTACAGCAAGAAGGCCGAATACAAAAGAAGAAGAAAAGGTACGTTACACTGGACCAGGTTCTCTGACCAAACACGGGACGAGCTACTGCAGCTCTCCGTCAGAGGCTTCCCTCTAACACACTATGTTTTTGAGGACGTGTGCCTTGCAGAGCGGGGGTTAGAGAGAGGAGGGGGGAGGCAGGGTGTAAAAACTATGTACAACTACAGTACATGGCCGAGGTCACTGAGCATCGGGATCGCTACTGAAAAGCAGGAGAAATCAAATATGGGACCAAGGCGAACTTGGAAAAAATAGGACTCCGCAGAGCTAAGCAAAAGCAGGTGTCTTGGATGACTGGTAACTCACGTGTCACAGTCTGCACAGCTGGGTGTATGCATGCTTTACTTAGATTAGGACAATTTCTATCAACATTTCTGCAGTCCACAACGGAAAGTCGGAAACACGTCAACAGGAACAAAAAAACAAGGCGACATTTTTCTTCAAGTTCTTGAACAATCCAGAAAGTCAGAAACACCGAAATTCAACCGCCCTACCTCCACTGGCTGCGACATTGTATCGCTCAGTGAGGTGGCGTGCACACTGTACAGGCTGGTCAGCAATACAACACACTATGCATCTCAACTCTTCTCAGTCTCACCGTCCGCACTTCCCGCCGCCGCCGCTGCACTCTTAGCCGCGTGCTCCTTTGACGCGGACTCGGCCTTCTGGCGCTTTGACTTGTGCTTCTTGCGGCGCGTGCTCTTCCACACGCGGCTCAACGACGCTTGGTCCAGCGTGCCCTGTGCCGGCATCTTGAAGCGCTCTTGGCGCTCCGGGACGGCGCTGAGCAGGTCGAAGAACTCGCGTCGCAGGATTTCGAGCGCCTCCGAGTCCGACGACGGAATCTGCAGCAGCGCGGCGAATGCGTCGGCCGTGAACGTCGGCTCCAGGGCGACCAGCGCGCCGTGAATTCCCCAGTCCAGCAGGCGGTCGGCGTACGTCATCAGGCCGATCGAGCAGACCCACTCGTGCACGCGCGCGCTGGTCCAGACGACGACGTCGCTGCTGCGTCCCTGGCAGGCCTGCCGCCGATGCAACAAAACGGCCATGTCGTAATTAATCTTCTTGATGAGCGCCACGGCACACTGGAAGCTCATGTGATGCAACTCCTCCACCATCTTGGTGAAGTTGCGCAGGTCCTTGACGGAGAGGTTGCTGAGCATGCGGCCATCGATCAGGCACTCGCGGAACGCCGGCGCATACTGCGGCATGCCGATGTCGGCCAGGAAGACCTCGCACACCCACTCGGTGTCCATCTCCCCGAAGAGCAGGCAGTTCATGCGGGCGCGCGACGACACGGCGGGGCTGGTGACGGCGACCATCTCCTGCACGGCCAGCTTCAGCTTGAGGCGGTGCAGCGGGTGTTGGATGCCCAGGTCGCGCGCCATGTCGCGCTCCGACAGGCCCGCCATGAACGCGCCACTCTTGGCGTTGGCGTGGCACGCAGAGATGTACCACTTGGGCATGTTGACGTAGACCTCCAGCCAGGCCAGCACCTGCTCGGTGCCCCACTCCATGAACGAGCGGTCCTCCCGTACAGCGCGATGGAACACCTCCTCCTTGGTCTGGTGCGTCATCAGCCGGGACGGCGTGCTGAGAGTGCGCGGGCGACGCAAGCTGGCCGCGCCGTCCTGGCCAGGCGTAAGGCTAGCGTCTATGACTTGCTGCTGAAGGTCTTGACTGAGGACGGGTGCGGATCCACCGTCCGTCTCATCCTCCTCGGTGACGGTCCCGTGCACTTTCTTCTTCTTGTGCTTCTTGGAAGGAGACTTGGTTTTCGGCGAAGGCATCGATCCCATTGATTTCGTGCTGTTGCGCCGCGGCAAGAATCGCCCAAAGCCCGATGACTTGGTGGATGTGTGACTCTTCACGCTGTCTTTGCGCGCATGCAGTGAGCTGCCGGAGTGGTTCAACTCAATGCTGCTAGACTCGGACGTGACAGTTGGGCTGGGAGTGCGAGCTGAAGCAAGGACAGGCCCGGACGTTTGACTGGGAACAGACCTGCAGATTTTGAACAACCAAACAACGACGACGACAACAACAACAACAAGAACAAGAACAACAGCAGCAGCAGCAGCAACAACAACAACAACATCAATGACGACAGCAACAAGAGCTCAGCCTTGTGATTTTCGTCGACAACGAATTTTATGCTCAGAGCACGAACGAGCAGATCTATACAACCGGCTTGAGCAGCAACCAGAACACTGGTGTGTGCAGCACAGTGCATATAGGTGGTGGTGGTGGTGGGGGGGGGGGGGGGTGGTGGAAGAGGGAAGCCTAACTGACCTCCACAACCAGCATTGCCTTCCCCTCGGTTCTGATAAACAGAGATATCCGGGGCCAGAAAGCTTATGGCCACGCTCAACTATTCTGCACCTCACAAAGTCGTCTGAAATTCAGCCCATATAGGCTTTGATTAGGCTTTGATTAGCGCAGCTGCCCTCAATGGACTCAGGTTTCATTCCCGGGTTACTGTAGAACGGGCAATTTTAGCGACGTAAAAACCCTAGCGAATTTAGCGATCGACTCATTTTCGCTAAAGTTTCAAGTCGCTAATCCGTTGAGACATTAGTAGTGCACTGGTGATCCGTGAGTAAAATCGCTGCAAATCGCTAAAATAAAACGTCGCTAACCGGTTGACAATGGGAAAACGCTAAAATTAATGAATAGTCGCTAAAATTACCCGTTCTACAGTACATGCATGGTCTGTGGGCACTGCGAACAATGGATCGGTCATGCACTGGAGCAAGGCATGGTCTGTGGGCACTGCGAACAATAGATCGGTCATGCACTGGAGCAAGGCGCCACCTAGTGTTCATGCGACCGGAGTCCACTGAGCTCACACACACACGTTAGAGAACACCGCCCGCACATGTACGTGACACCTAAAACTGGCAACCCCCCCCCCCTCTCTGGTTACGGGAAGAGGATGATCGAAAACTCAACAGACACTGAGAGATTCCCCATGAACCGCAGACAGCAGAGCCATGTGTCTAAGAACATCGGTTCTTATGAGGTCCAGACCGGGACATTCTTTTAGTATCTTCATGAGACAAGATGTCCTCAGGAATCACGCTACGTTCTAAATACGACATTCTTAGAATAGAGTGCCCTTTCACTGGTCAACACCTGTCAACGGCAATGCACTGAGTAGAATTTCAATTCGCCATTGACATATTGATGACCAGACTAGTTAGAGAGTTGGAGAATTTCCAGGTTGGGCACTCTAGGGCGCTGCATTCTTCGGCATGAGAATTTGCTGGATAGAAACAGTGTCACCCCCCCCCCCCCCAACACACACACACACACGCGCGCACGCACACACACACACACACACACACACACACACACACACACACACACACACATGCAGCACATACATCTGGGAGAATAACTGACAACAGCACTCCAGAGCAAGATCGATGGATGACCTACCCCATGCTGGTGGTGTCGGTAACGAGAGCATCCGGTGGAGCTAACGACATCGCCTTTCTGCCCGCCCGTGGACTGTGTGCGGAGCCGTCCGTTGATGCCAGGTCGCCTTTCAACTCGTGATAGGAGAAGTTGATGATGGGCTCGCTCCACACAGTTGGTGTACCGCGCCGTGCCAAATGTAGCGCAGAGCGCGGTCGATCTGGATCAGGCGGGGACATAACTAGCGGTTCGGGCGTTGACGCATACGTATTCGGCTTGACGTGCCCGTTGTCTATCGTTCTGGAGCCAATGTCGAGCAGCTTGTGCACCTCCTCATTCGAGTACGGCGTCAGCTTCTTCACCTGGCGCAGTCGCTCCTCCAGGGCCTGGCAGCGCGAGGCAAAGTGCTGGATGCTCTGCTCGCGCGACGCCAGCTGGTTGCGCAGTGCCGACTGCTCGGCCATGAGGCGCGACCGCGTCCTCTCCAGCTCGTACACGGGCGTCTTGCCGTCCTGCGCCGTCATCAGGTCGCTGCTCGGGTTGCGCTCCTTCAGGCGTTGCGTCAGCTGCTCGTTGGCCAAGCGCAGCTGATTTAGATCGTCCTCAAGATCCGTCACGCGGTACGTCAGCTCGTCGCGATGCTTGCGAAGCTCCTCGACGTGCTTGTGCCGCTCCTCGAGCTGCTTGAGCAGAAGCTGACTGGACGAGCTACCGCTGGTGCTGCCCGCACTGCGGCCCAACCCACTGTCGCTCTCCGTCTGCTCGGTTTCGCCGTTCTCCTTTCCGGGCCCCACCTCCATGGCCACTTGCAAGCGGAATTCCAGGGCCTCATTCCGTTCGAGCAGTGCCTCTCGCTCGCTGTTCACCGCCGTCAGCTCCTCCTCCAGCATGCTCGCCTTCTCCATGGCAACGCGCAGTCGCTCGCGCACTTTCTCGTCCAGGGCTTTGTGATGGTCGAATAGCGACTTGAGTGCCTTCAACACCTCCACCTCCGACGACACTCCGCTCTGGGCGTTGGCTTGCCGTCGCACTACGGTCATGCGCAGCGTTCGTTCGTGGCGCCCGACCAGACTTTCGAGGTGCTCCAGCAGCAGGCGCGTGTTCCTCCGCTCGGCCTTCAGCTCGCCGATCTCCTCGTTGCGCTCCTCGATGGCGTGCTGCTGTGCGGTGAACATCTTGGCCAGCTGCATGAACTCCTCGGCGAGTACGCTGCGACGCTCGTCCGCACTCAGCTCGCCGTTCCAGCGATCAGTGTGTTGTACCTGGTCCAGCAGCTGTAAGCACTCCTGCTGAGACTCGGGCATGGCGCGCTGGATGTGCTGGAACAGTACGGTTTTCTCCGCTGCTGCCTCCTCCACCTTGGCTTTGGCCTCGTTTAGCTGCTCCCTGGTCTCACGCAGGTTTTCCATGAGTTTGTCGCGCTCTTCCAGCATGTTCATCATCAGTTGCTCGAAGCCTGTCACGTCGTTCCGTCCGCCGCTCGCCTCTCCTCCATTCTCGTCATCCGATTGCTCCTCTCCCGTCTCCATCAACGCAGGAAGTACGTCGCACATCGTGCGCGCTCACGGTGGATTTCCTGCGCCTCTGTTGTTCCCCTCTCTCGCTTCGCCGCAGCCACGCTGCGCTGACACGAAGCGCAGAAGCACCAACACTACTTCTGGGTCGGCTCTACCGGGACAAGCCGAATTCGCGAAGGTCCCGCAGACCTCGCAGCTCCACAGCGGGGCGAAAGGAGAGCGAGCAGCAGTGCTCCCTAGCGTACCCGCGTGCGCTTACTCTAACGGCTGGTGGACACTGGGAGGACGGAGGCCGTGCGGCGGTAGCGACCAGCCCGACGGGGAAATATTGGCAGTGCGAGCGAACAGCGCACATGGGCTTCCAATAGCGACGGCTACGGAGCAGGCTAACGACTGTGCGAGAAGCGTCCCCCTAGCGATATCATCCACAGCCGCTCAGCTTCTTCTCTTGCGAATGTCCCAGTCTATCGAAGTAACAGTACTTCTCTTGCAGTCTTGGTCCCAGATTCCTAGGTGCACTCACATAATATAAGGCAACAAACCAGCCTGCTACGACTACAACGGACCAACAAAAATACGGCAAATGGCAAGCGCTAGGCCAGCTCACCCATGAAGGTACTAGTACATGAAGACTGAAGTGGCTGAATGAGAAAGAGAGAGCGCTAGCGCTAGCGACGAGTTTATTGTGATTATCCGTACATACGACAAAAGCCGTGCCTGGATTCCTCCGCCACTAACAATTTGCATGGGCCAAAGAGTAGTAACGTAAGAAAGGCTTTGCTCCGCCACCCAAACCATGAACAACGAGCCAGTGCTTGCTAGCAGTGGCGTGAGCACTTCAAACTAAAAGTAGCTTCGTCGCAGAAACTCTTCGGCGAAGCAAAATTTGTGATGATGGCATTATCGATCGGGCCTGTTGCGACCACATCCTGCACATTACTGTATGACTGTGCATGTCGATCTACGCAGTGTAGATCTACTACTACTTACTAATACTAGTACTTGTGTCTGTGTGTTGCCTTTGCCCGCTTTGGCCAGTTTGGCAGCATAGCGCCTGTCTGGCTTGCATGACCCGTGTACGAAACGACATCTAGCCTTCTAGGAAGTGTACGCGCTTTATCTAATCGACGGCGCGTCGACTCGCGCCGCGGAAAAAGCTGCATCGAAGTGACTGACCATGCATACATGTACGCGTATACGGTCAGTACAGTACAATCATAGTAATCAGTATCGATGCGGACGATGGACAAAAAAAACTTGACAGCACTTGGCACGTGCACACCGCTGCACCACTGACCAGCCCACGCATTTCTATGTAATGATCTCATCAAGAAAAGAACACAATCAGAATGCAGGTTTTTTTTGGATTTTCATTTTTCAAGCGCGATGCGCCGCCGCGGCCGATATGACCAGCTGTCATTAATTTTCTGATTGTCAAACAAGTGAATGAAGCCTGAAGTGAAGGCTAGTCACTGCCATAAAATAGGTACTCGCACTGACAAGTGACAGACTCCCATTCGCAACTAACGCTAGTCACTACTACTAGTACTACTAGTACTACTAGTCAGCAGCAGCGCAGCGCTAGCAGCAGACAATGACGCAAAGTCGTTGTGCAGTACATGTACAATCATGTGACTGTACGAGAGCGTACATCAGTACAGTGTGTAGTTTGACTTGAGTCTTTGACCGGATCCTGGAGGTGGCCAGGCGGACATGACAAGCATTGTCATAACGACATAATGACAGTCAAGTCGCTGAACCATGAATGGGTGACAAGGGACCCAGGAGACATTTCAGGAGTGCATACACTGTCATAATCATACAAAAGTACAAAATGTACAGTCATGTATTCAGTATGATGACGATACTGTAAAACCGGAAAGTCTAACGACCAAAGAGTTTACATTTTTTTTGTAATTTTGGCATGATTACGTGCAGAAAGTTTAACGATGGCTACCTGGCCACCAGGGAGTCGTAAAATTCTGCTGGCCACCCATCTGTGTGCGCATCTTTAGGGCGCGCTCACACTGCGACCAAAACCAGCGTCCATGCGGCCATGCGGCCAAGTTGCATGGCAACGGCATGAACTTGACCAAAACGTCGCGGCCACGTTTCAAATCGTGACCGCGACCTCCGGAGGGGGGTGCCACGACTTGGCGGCAACATGATCGTAGACGTGAAGCGTATTTGTGTACAACCTGGCCTGAAGTATGTTCAATTTCTCAAATTCCGGTGTGTTGATTCATGAAAATCGGCGGTTGTCGATGTCACCTCGACATTTGCACATTTTTTAAAATTTTGTAGTTGTGGTCCTGCACGCACGCACCGCCATATATGCATTCTTTGCCCTTTTCGGACGATGTCGATTTTGTTTTTGTTTTTGTAGTTGCTTCGTTGTGATCGGGTGAGAGACCAATTTCTACAGTGTACTCGTTCAACACGATGGCAGCTTGGTCTGGCTTTTCGGTTTCGGAAATCATCTTTCTCTACTTTTCTGCGATGATGGAATGCCATACCTCAAGACATTTCAGTTACATATCATCGGAAAATACAGTTCTCATCTTGGCAACAGACAAAAGAAACCACTACCGGAATTTCCACTGCACTGGCACTTGCTCTGACCACGAGGTCAGGAAAGCGAAAGCGCTTGGATGTCAGCGGCAGTCCCTCAAGAGTCCAAACCTACCTGATTGTATGAATTATTTTCGTCGACTTCAAGAATACGAGCCACGAGGCACTTCCTCCAACATGCAACATGCGAAAAATTACATCCAAAACGGGCCACAACTTTATTAGGAAACGCACGAACTCTTTTGGATACGAACTGCAATTCGTAAAGTTTATGTGACAAGTTCACGTCTACGCGTGTACGAGGCCTAGTGTGAGCACGACTGCCACGTTTCTGCGTTTTGCTGACGCATGGACGCGTGCTCATGGTCGCAGTGTGAGCGCGCCCTTACACAGACATCTTGCGATAACGTTTCTTCAGATAAGGCCTTAAGGGGTCGTCCACAAATATCGATGTTTTTTTAGAGAAGATATTCGTTCGTTTGGGGGGGGGGGGGGAGGGGGTTTGGGCCCTGTTCGTCTCGTCTTTGCAGAAAAAATATCGAACTCTATCTATGGACGGGCGCTGTTCGAACATGTAGTTTATGACCTACACAAAGTGAAAGTCAACCTCGTGAGCATAGCCATGGCAAGGTTGTGCGACCGTGGCAACAGAAACCTAGGTGTATGGTGAAATTAGAGTGGCACTGAGCTGGTCACGTTTCATGAGGAAATTGAACTTCATTAAAAAATATCGATCCCTTCCATAAACATGTGTATGTTCGTTTTGAGGGAGGGAGGGTCTGGGGAGAAATGAACAAATATCGTCTTGAAAAAAACATCGATATTTACGGACGGCCCCTAACGGAAAAAAATTGGTCGTCACAAAAACGTTAGACTTTGTGACTCGTTGGACTTTCCGGTTTTACAGTACATCATGTCATTGTATCGTTGCTCTATGAAATACGGTCGTGTCACTCAAGTACGCGCCGGGCATCGCGCAGCCCTAGACCTGCGAACACAGGGCTGCGAAATGATGCAAGGCGCAAACTTGAGCGACGCGACTGGATTTCATCGAGCAGCACTGTGCATAATTGGCAGATGGGCAAGAACCTACAGCACTTGTACATACAAGGAGGACATTTTTATTTCCGTTAGCCAGCGGAGAGGGCTCAACCAGGGAGTCGTAAAATACCGGTATTTTACGACTCCCTGGGCTCAACACAGTAATGTGGAGCATACACACACAAGGCACACAGGAGGTTTACAGACTGAGGTCATGGCAACTCTGCACCCAAAAAATACAAGTCGTCTGGTTCTGATGATTGTATTGTGCAAGAAACTCGGAGTTGCGACGAACTCTGTAAACCTCCCTTCAAGTAGAGTCCTTTGTGCCCTTTGTGTGAGTGAAAACTGCACATACAAAAACAAAAACACATCTCCACGGAAACCTCTTTTTTGATTCGCTGTTAACATGTTACAAGCAGGGAGTAGTACAATACCGTATTGTACTACTCCCTGGTTACAAGTGTTAGGTCATAAAAGGTTGACTTAATATTTTGCGTCCACTTCACCACCACCACCACCGTTGCGCTCTGCGGCCGATCACGTACATTGTACATTCCCCACAACAGCAACAAGTGGTTCCTTCGGAGTATTGAAAATTGCTTACTTTCTTGTGACTTTATATGTTTTATTATCATAATATTCTAACTTTTAAAAACCGGAAAAATACGGTATTCCTACATTACAATACAGAGCTTCTGGCTTTAGTTAAAAAGATGAATATGACCCGGAGCACAGCAATCTGAGCATGCAGCCGTGGCAAGAACCTACTCGAATGCAGTAGTATCCACCTTTCCCCCTTCAAACGTGGCCCAAAGCCACAACGACCTTGACTCTGGGATCAGGGCATGACATGTGGCGATAGGTCATTTATGGCAGCAACCACTCAAAGTTACAAGAATGCACCACTTACAAAGTACAGAGAATACTGAGAAAACATGCCACACACCAGTATAATAATTCTAGGGCTGGACCACGGGGTGGTTATACTTATAAGTCATGTAGGTCTCCTTGCTCCATGCATATTGCACTTAGAAACTCTCTACAGTTGTCAGTAGTGATGGCCTGATCTCCCGAACCCAACACCAGGCCGCTGTTTACAGTCACCTCCCGCTGTCTGCAGGTGCACATGCATGCACATACTGAGTGTCAACAAAGAGAAGTCCAGAAAATGATAAAGTGAAGTGAACCGAGATATCGTCAGCTTTCCTTGCTTTCACACCTCGCCAGTCCACACAGGCGACAAGCGATGAGATGTAACATCAACGCTGTGAGTATTTTTTTCTTGTCCCACAGCACGATGACCTCCACGAGGAGATCGCGAGTGTCCGGCACCAGGGAGTTGTATAGACAACTCTCTGGTCTCCATCAAGTGACTGCCAGCAACACGTGCAACGCACAGGCACACGTACCCCAAACAAGAGGGGAAGGAAGTCGCTACACAACTTTGATGGCCGTGTGCATACACCACAGGCTGCAAGGGAAACGGGAATCGAAAGCTAAGCAGTAGAATCTCTCTTATCTGGGCATGCATCTCCCTCAATGCAGCAACATGCAGGCAAGTACATCCAGTCAAATCTGGAGTTCTTGACAATCAATATCTTTCGTCAGCTGAACTACTCCACCGCATAGCTCGAAGAGCATTGACTCAACTCTTATTGTGTGTGCTTGTGAATGGTATCAATCTGGGGCCATCCAGCTAAAGCGAATGGCATACCATATCAAGTGTTATTTCCGAGTTACGGAATATTCTGATATGTGGACACCCTTTGGTCCCGAGCTAGACACACGGATAAGAGATCCAAATGTACTGGAAATTACGTTCACGATTATCAGTATGTACCAAAAAAAAAGCTTCCAGCAAGAGCTGCAAGACTGCTTCTCTGAAACTCCACACACCCACACAGAGAGAGCAGATCATCGATCCTGTTTTGCTCATAAATGGATGATCGAAGAGAAGTGAGTACTTGTATGGTGTCCGAGATGGGTACCATCCCTGACCCAATGATGGACCCTGGGCTATAACCCCCCAGCCACGCAGCACACACCCACACAGACATACAGAGGATTTTCCGTGTTCCATATCTAACGTTATTCTTGCCGAACAAGAGAATAAAATTTAGTAGAAAAACTAGATGAACATCACACCCACACCCACGTGGCCAGCAGGTAGCTAGTCCGAATCAGAGAAGGTCATGCGCTTGCCCTCGAACGATTGAATTGTCGCCGAGCTCTTCTCCTTGTTCATGCGCTTGGCTGCCCATGACGGATGCAGTTCTGACAGGTCCTCCACTGGTGCCGCTTTTCCTGTACACCAAAACACATCAGCAGTGACAGTAGCTATCAGCGAAAACTTAAAAGTCAGAGTTCTCTCCCTCACCCACCCACTCTCATGAGCACAACACATCACAGCCAGAGAGCTAAAAGAGCTGAAAGTACATGTTGAGGCCAAAAACATTCACAAAAGTATGTTCCGGCGGCGAAAAAATGAAATTGAAGTCAACAGCGTTTGCACTCCGAATCACTTGCTATGTCAGCTTTTAAAAGAATCTGCTAATTTGTTTCCGACATGTAGCAGTTAAAATGACAACACAGTACATTGCGCAGTTTCTGGCACTCAGTCTCGCTTCGGCATTGTGAACACTGCTCCGAGCGAAGGCTACGCTGGAAATGCACAGACCACGTGAGTGCTCAGAACCAGAGCGACATGTCTCCGGGCACGCACACACACACACAAACACCCCCGAAGATCATGTCGCCGACTGGCAAAGAACTGTGGCGACATATCCGCACAACCTTGCCCGGCGCTTTAACCTCGGCCTTTTTGTCATCATTGTGCCAAAAACACATTAAACAAAGCCACGTCCTGTACGTCATTAATTACGCAAGCCCATGCTAATGACTAGCGAAAGAGCTGTACTCGGTTCATGCATCATGAAGTCCATGGTGTCGGAGCATTCAGCCACTATGACAGTTCATCATAATATTTTGAAATACAAGTTCAGTAAAAAGTAGCCTGGATATTACACAGTAGGGGCTTTGAAGTACAGTTTTTCTGGACCCTTCACTCTGCTTTATTTGTAGTCAACCTCGACTATAAAGCACAGATTTCACGGCATGCTACACTGAAGTATCACTGAAGGGTCTAATCTAAAGGCACACCTATTGAACAGCACAGCCCCACTGTTCAAACTAAGACAAAGAAGCAGATTCGATCCAGGCAGCAAAAGGCGAAGCAACGTACGTTTTACGCCAGCTGGCCTGCTGCGGCTACCACTTCCTTTCGCCTTTGAGCTGGCGGCATTGGTTCCATCACCCTCCTTGGTCTTCTTCTTGAAGACGCGCGGCTTGTTGGCCGGGCGGTTTTCAACGACATGGCGCGCTTGCGTGCCAAATTGCTCTTCCCATTTCCTGCAAGCACAAGTGCAGCAAAGAAAAACCCATCGAGCATGGACAAGAGACTTGGCCAGTAGCACTGGTACTGATACCATGACAGTTACATACAGTTTGGAGTGCAGAAGCAGGACCGCCGAAAGAAGTTTTTGATTGGTCCAAACAGTATCATGGCTGTTCGTACTTTGTGTATGATATGACTGACGGGTACGCCTGGCCCTCCACAGTAGGAGACATGTATTGGTGGCCGAAAAGTTGGTCCGGTAATAACCTGACCAACCGGACCGGTTCCGGCGGGCCTGAGAAGTGACTTACTTTTGACGAGCACGTTGGCCAAGCCGATTTCTCTTCTTTTTCTGAACGGCAGCAGAAGAGAAGCAGAAAGAGGACCAATCGGAAATCACTTGCCCAACGCACACAGAATGAAGGATACAAGAACAAACATGGTACAAACACAATTCCGCTCTCTCTGTTTCTGTCTCTCTTCCTCCCCAACACACACACACACGCGCGCGCGCGTACACCCACCTGAGCTGCCTTGCTGGCGCTGTCAGCACTCTCGCCATCCTTGCTCAGCAGCTTCTTCAACTTTCGCCGGTTCACTTTACTCTTATCCGTGCTCGGGTCGCTACCGAATGATGCAAATCCTGACCCGAACGGAACAGCACAATCAATCTGCAAGGAAGACAATAGAAAGAATGAGAAGCTAGATTCTAGACAGGGGACCAGCAACTGAGCATAGTTATTAATTTATTTTGTACGTGCTGTGGGCTACTTGTAGCCGATGCCAATTGAAAAATGGACAAGAGGAGATTTACGCACATGAACAATCGGGTGAAAGTGGATCGAACCTCCCCCCCCCCCCCCCCCCCCCTAACCCTTTCAAAGGGGATCTGATCTACAAATTTACAAAATTTCGAAAGCATTGCGGATGAACCATCATGCTACATGGAAAGAAGAAAGAGACCTACGTCATCATCTCCATCGCTGTCCGAGGATGCTCCCATTGAGAAGTCGTCATCCGTTCCGATCTCCTTTCCCAAGCCGATGCCTCCATCATCGGATGAATATTCGCCGTCATCATCATTGTCGTTACCATTCGGCTCATCACTGTCGGATTCTTTTGGCTGCGGGAGAGATAACAAGATAGAACAAAGCAAAGTTGTCGTTGTCTGATGGTTGGCCCTGTTACCATGAAACTCAGAGCAACAACAGAACATAGTTTCCCGCCATCGTGAACTTGTGTGCACAAGATAAAACACGTGTAGAGAGATTTCAGAATGTTCAACCTCGAGGCGCAGCTACTACCATGTTGGCGGGTGTGGTAACACAGACTACTGCTCGCTGCTTACCAAGTCGGTGCCGGTCGGCTCCACAGCTTGCTCGGAATCTTTCTCTGGCTGCGTGCTGCTGTCGTCCTTTTTCTTAGCCGTCTGCTTCTTCTCTTTCTTGTCCTTGGCCCCGGCCTTTCCCCGCTCTGCCTTCTCCGCAGGATTGTCCGTACCATCTAGAGAAGTAGCAAAATTTATAGAGAGAAGAACAACATTGTCAATGGTGATGATTGGTGTGCGATGAGAGCGAAAACAGGTCAATTTGAGGTACGGTCAACCCCCAAACATGCAAGCACACACACACACACACATTATTAAAGCACTCAAATTCAAAAGGTGACATTCTTGCGTCGTTCAGTGCAGAAACCTGCGATAAGTGACAGAGAACCAGCACCCACTGTATGTATTTTCCATACATGAAAGGTGAAGATCCAGCATACACAGTGACCAAACATCTCTACTCATGGTTGTCGTCAGGGCACTACTAAGCATCAAGCATGAGTTGATATGACCTGCGCTTCCATTTGTACAAGAAAAAAAAGAAAAAAGACAAAGTCCTCCACCAACAGGCTGAACACCCACACACCCACACACACATACACGTACGCCTTAGTGAAGAATGCATTTACTGTACCAACCTGCACGCCTTTTCAGCCGCTCCAGCACATCCTGAACAGCGGCAGAGAGCAGCAACTCCCGACGAAGCCGCTCGGTGCCAAGGGGCAGGCACAGGACAGTCTGAACAGGAGCAAATCAAGCACACGGTACGTCATGTACATGGCGTGGAATTAAAATATGTCATACGATTTTTACTGACCACCACACCATAACTGCGCTCTCTAGCCGACCTAGACTCGTTGCCACAGCAGTTATGGTGTGGTGCCTGGCGAAAAATCTGTACAGGGCGGAATACTGAACTGACTACTGCACCACTGGTAGTATGACCAAGAGTACATAACCCCCCCCCCAGAGTGTGCAACGCCTGATCCAGCTCTGCATAGGGTCTTGGTCGAGCGCAGTCGGATCTTTTGATGTCATGCGTACACTTCACACCAGTGCAAGGCCGGTCTCGAGGCAGGGCACCGTTGTTTTTGATCCGAGAGTACCCGCGACTCCCCGGTTCTCCTCAGATGTGTACGGTATTATGACGCAAAGATCCGATTTCGCTCGACCAAGACCCTATGTAGAGCTGGATCAGGCGTTGCACACTCTGGGGGGTTATGTACTCTTGGTATGAGATATGCAATGTCATGCATTGTACTATGGCATGGCACAGGCATTCCTCTATCAAATGTGTGACACCTACCTTTATTTCTTCGATTCGATTCGCCAACGGCCCATTGGCTACCGCTGTTTTCGCCAGTTCATCGAGGTTGACATCCTGCTTGCACAGACAAACAAACGCACACACATACACACACACACACACACATACACACATACACACACACCTGTACTTGCTCACTGCGAGACACTGGTCACGCGGGTCTTCCCGGAAGAGGGGATTCAAAAGGATCTTGGAAAGATGACCATGAACCGCCAAAGGCTGACCAACACCCCGGAAATCCCCAGATTCTTCCTGTAGGTGGCCTTGGATCCCACAGACGGGCTCACCACACAGCAATAAGTGGACGAGGACCGGCACAGAAAAAGGATTGAAGTACCAACGTATCCGTCCCCATGATCCAACTACACTTATCCCTGCCACATTGTCGTACATGTACAGTTGTGGCAAGTGAAATCCGACACTTGCCATAGGGGACAGCGCCTCAAATGGACATCAATGATGTAATGCACTGCACCTAATTTGTACTATAGAGCCGTATGCATCCCAAACAGGTCGAAAGGTCACAGCTTAGATACACACAGTTCACAAACATGGTACACATAAGGAGTATTGGTATCCAATTCCTATTCATTTTGCCAGCACCTTTTGAATCTTGACTGTGATGAGTACGAATTCTGTCATCAGACAGATAAAGTTGTATGCAACACATGTACTGTACGTTTGCAGGGCTGCAGAGGCTGCAGGATGCACGGTGCAGTCCCTTATGCCAAGTGTCGGATTTCACTTGCCACAACTGTACATATACCTGATGCTAGTGTGGTTGGCCAAATCAGAGTGGATCTGCTGTAGGCCTTACTAGCACCGCTGATAACCTAAGAATCAATCCAGCCAGAAGTAACGCATCGGCGATCAGGTGTGTACACTTCGAATACCCACTTACACCGACAAACACGCACCCACCTACACGCATGCACCCGCCCACACATACAAGCACGCCTTGGCCATTAGACAGCCAGCAATGGTAGCGAACTGTGCTGAGGATAGCAACCTGTGCCGTACGATCCTCGCAATGAATTGCCTACCACTATTTTAGCTGTGTCTTACGTTTCGAAAGTGGCTTCTCTTGTCACGGAACACCAAGTTTCGGAGTTGTTCACATACAAGAACAGAAGCAGATAATAAGGGAGAAAAAGAGGGGGATCTCCGAACACACACTCGCATGCCCACATGCACCCACCCACCCAGCACACACACACACAAGGAAAAACAAAACTAACCTTAGCCTGAAGGATCTGCTCCCGAAGCCGTTGCAGCTTCCGGTCCTTCTTCTTCAGCTGCTCAACATTCCCCCTAAATAGAGCAGCAGCAGCACAACAAGAACAAGAACAAGATGTCACAGGATGTTACTACTGATCAGGTCTAGTGCTGATGCAATACTGTACGTGTAAACCCCCGAGATCCAGGAATGTCGGTTTACTGGGCACTTTAGCTGACCTGTTGCTACGGAAAAATGGCCAATCAATTATCACGTGCATAAAGATGTGCTAAAACTAAATGCGCATACAAGTATTAGAATGGGTGTGCCCCGACATCCTCGAAAATCTAGGATCTGAGAAAGTCAATTCCCAAGCCCTGATTCAAACTGAAGCAGCAAAAGAGAACGGGTGCTCAGGTATTGCGGATCTGCGTGTCAAAGGGTCACTGTTCTTTCTTATCCACGCATTCTCGTAGATTACTGCTCTTCTTTTCAGTGTTGCCATGCCCGGCTATCGCCGCCTCGACTCGATTCATACTGGCTGTTGCCGTTGGAAGGCGAACGAAATGAAATAAACAAGCTGCTCGAGATTTGGAGAGGACGGTGGCATTCCTGCGGATGCAGAACACTCCCTAAAGAGATTCACGGTTCGCTAGAGACTTAGTTAGACTGGGTTTTCAGCATCCGTAGGAATGCCACCACCCTGCAAACATCTAAGGCGCAGATGCAGCTAGCTCCTAACGTAGTGGGAGGTTGTGAAACTAGGAGCTAGCTAGTTTAAGTTACTTACCGCTTCTTCTCTAGCTTGTTGGCCTGCCTGACAAGCTTGTGTAGAGTATTGACCCTGGCTTTCTTCAACTGGTGCTTCACTATGCTCTCAGACTGTCCATGTTGATTGAGTCAGCGTAATGGCCAAGGCACATGCCGGCAAGCAACACATAAAGAGCAAGTGCATGCAAACACGTACACGCATGCACACGCGAGGTGATCGCAGACAAACTCAAAGATGCGGCCGCAGTTGCGCAATACACGCTCTATTCTCCAGGAGTTTGAGCGGATTTTTTAATACCAAATTCGATTGCGACTTGCTCCAAACGGTCTCTGGGCTACACCAATCACTAAAAGAAAACGAGATGTTTCTTTTAGTGCTTGGTTTAGCCCAGAGACCGTTTGTAGAGTGCCGTGAAGACATATGGATATAGTGGATGGCTACAGTGGAGTCTTCGCATTTTGAGAAATGGTTGCGACTTGGCACAGTACAATTATCATGTACATGGCATGTTTGTTGAAATAGAGTCATGCGTCTCGATGAGAGCAATGAGGAATGCGGACTGACTTGTTACTTGTTTAATACAAATACTACTATTTATTTATTGTAAGGTTGCAGTGATCTGACATGCACTATGTCACATTGTCCATCACATGGCAACTCCAAAAAATATCAAAAATACAGCTGAAAATTTCACCCAGCTCTAGTCATTCCCGCGCAGTGAATTCCAGGAGAGTCTGACCATCAACACACAATCTTGGAGCACCTACCTCTCTCATCCCAACGTTCAGAATAGTATTCACGCCATGAAGTCAACCACACTACTGAACGGCTGATTCTCGTCCTCACAGCTCCACCCAGACAACCGAACGGACAACCAAACGACTACAGGCTACTAGGATATCAAGTCAAATCGACAAAACTCAGTCTATACCTGATTGATGAGCGACAATGCATCCAGCGCGTGCAGCCAGAAAATGATTTTGTGAAAGAAAGGTGATCTTGAAGCTCGGAGAGAAAGCAAAAAAAAGAAAAAAATATTTATGTGTGACCACCGTTTGAAATGCAATGGTAACGGTGACAACTCAGCCTGGCGTCATGATGCGGGCTTGTCATGTCACAACTTGAATCAACTTTTTTGCAGCATTTCGTTTTGCAAAATAGATCAACAAGATCAAAGAATGGTTGTTGTTTGATTTATTATGAGCAACATGTTCGCCAGAGTCTGCACGGAGCCAGTGAATCCCTGCCTGGGAATAAGGCGATTTTTGTGTGGCTCGTCTAGCTCTCTGCGGGCGGCGTGCTTGCACAAGCGGTCTGCGTTGCGCGTCAGCGGCGAAGATGCAGGGAAATTTCTTCAGGGGCTCGTCACTCAAGACGTGTTGGGCTCCGTCCACCCGGTGTCAGCTGTCCAGTATGCACACATTCTGAACGCGAAAGGCCGCACAAAGTATGACATCATGATCTACCCGGAGCTACAGTCGACCGGAGCCAGCACCACGGATTATCTCGTTGAGGCGGATAGGCTCATCCTGGCCGACTTGCACACTATGCTAAAGCTGTATCGCATGAGGGCCAAGGTAGATTTCAGCTCTACTGATGGTGACTGGAAGATATGGGTAGTTCAGGGCGACGTGAGCAGCAGCATCAGCGTGCCCGCAGGCGGCCGCTTTGGACCTGATCCCCGGCTGAGCGGCTTCCATCGGCTTGCATTGCCCGGGGACGAGGTGCCGCCAGGTGAGATCGGCGTGCACGACAGTGTGGCAGACGAGTACCTGCTCGCTCGCTGGAGACACGGCGCGTGCGAGGGCGTCGAGGAGCTGGAGCCGGGCGAGGCACTGCCGCTGGAGCACAACCTGGACCTGAACAACGGTGTGTGCTTCAAGAAGGGCTGCTACGTCGGGCAGGAGCTGACGGCGCGCACACACTTCACCGGTGTGGTGCGCAAGCGCGCGCTGCCCGTACGCCTGCTGAGCGGCAGCGGCGGTGACTTCTCCCCAGGGCTTGCGCTAGCAAGCCGTGTGAGAGCTGACGGCGAGAGCGAGAACAGCGGCAGCGGCCCGGGACAGCTCAAGCGTGCCGGCAAGCTGCGTGCCTGGTTCGGCGAGCGTGGCATTGCGGTGGTGCCGGTGGAGTTGGCGCGCACGCCGTCATCCACCGTGCTGTGTGCGAAGAGCGACGCCAACGAGTCAACCCTCGCCATCGGAGAGCTGAGTCCGGCACTGGAGAAAGCCGCCGGCTAGCCTGGCACGCACTCACACAGACATGACGGTGTGAAATCTATACACCCAGAACTCATGTTTTGCTCGCGGTGGTGCCGGCTGAGTCGAAGCTTCTCCGTCCCGGAAGGAAACACGGTGCTGTACAGTGTGTGATTGCTAGCCGCTGTTGAGCAGCTTACACACATCCAGATACTTTGCTAACCATCAGAAAGTCCACAATGGGATTCCCGGTACCCAGTGAAACGACATTTGGACGGGATCAGTGCATTGGCTTATCGGCCCTATGGAGGATGATGGTACCCTGTGCCTTGTTCCTAAGCTCCTTTGCTTAGTCAATAGTGTGTGACAATTCAGCATATCTGTGTGTGAAACCGGTAACCGGTAGCTTGACACAGCAGAGCACGGCTAGCCGCTGGAGGAACCAACCCGTCACGCATCCAGTGTGCTGCTCACTGGGTGGATGGACATGCAATAGTGTTTAAATCGCAGCATTCACTGTTGGACATGCTCAGAGCTGTGTTCACAGTGCAGCATTCGCTGTGCTCGCATGATGAGTCATGCCACGACTGTGCGTACATGCGGTGTGGTTACATGATGAACCGTGTCACGACATGTACATAGATGCGGTGTGGTCCCAGCGGGCATGCCGTGTGACAGTGCGGGCACCACTCGTGTCCATGGACTCCTTGTGTCAACTTCACACGCTGCACATGGATCAGCTTCGATAATATATACCCAGCCACTAATCACTAACACAGGGCAGCCCGTCGTACTAGGGCTGCTTCCGTGACAGCACCATGGTGCATTTATGATAGCTTCTATAACTTCAGAAAGGTTAGCCTTAGAGCAAGGCCAAGCTGGGAGAAGTCCACGCCTACTATGCGGAGGTCAGCGTGTGATATCCTAGTTCTGGCAATGCAATGGCGTACTCTAATCAGTGGTCACCCTGGTGATCATCACCTTGTTCAGTTGCTTTCTGCTTCAAATCTCAACCTTTTCTCATACCAGTAATTTGACTATTCGCTTGAGGTCTTCATGACAGTTTGTTTACGAATGCATGTGGTGGCCATGACAGGAGAACGTTCTTAGCACAGAGAATTTAGATGCCAACTGGGTGTTCTGGCTGCTGTGTGCGGTGTGATGCAGCTCTGCACGATGTACAAGTAGGTCAGTGACATTTTGGTGACATCAAATTTGCACCAAGAGATCACGGGTTGTGTGTAGTCTGATATTCAGTACAGTGTGGAGTGCATTCATTCACTCTTTGCATGTACGGCTCGTAGTGATCAGACTGCCTGTGACTGTCCAATGCCTCTCACAGTGTAAGCCAGTGAGCATGTACAGCAGCACGCTTGCGACAGTCGCGCTCACTGAAATGCGACCCGAAGTGCAAAACTGACGCCCTGAACCAGTTCTGAACACATCGCTGTACTTGTACATGACTGTGTGCATCCAGCTGCATTCGTACCACTTCCAGGGCGTCACGGGCCGTGCAAGTTGAGGGTGTCGTCACATATACAGTTAGGGTCGGATTTCACCGAGCACAGCTGTACATGTGACTGCATAGGCTGTGGCTGGAGCCCTGCTGGCCATGCAGGCATGCTGAAGAGCTAGAAGTAGCACAGTGAGGCACAGAAGTAGTGCATGAGATGTGTGGCTGAAAGTCAGTTATGCCAGGTCAAGCCTTTTTTGTTTGTTTCGCACGCACGCACGCGTGCACACACACACACACAAACCCGTGACATGCACGCTCGCACACTGCCAGCACAGTTTTCGGAAATGAACACCATAAGGCACCCAGCAGTACCAGCCAGAACAAACTGAAGCAGAATGTTTCCGATGTAACACGACGACAATCTTACATTGAAACACCACCACCGCAAACCTCATCGTGCAAACAAAAATATTTCGTCTGTCAGCACCCATACTTTGAGCAGTTATTTTCTTCTTTGGCCATGCAAAAAAGAATGGGTACGTATTTGATAGCTCTGGACAACACTGCACAGAGCCAAATAACAACAACATCGTGAGAATAAAGATTTGAAACAACAACATGCCCGCACCTTAAAAAGCCAAGTGAGTTTAATAATAATAATAAGAAGAAGAACAGCTCGCATAATCATCACTTAGAATTGACCTCTATGCATCTGTTTGTGAAAAGGTTCCTTTCATGTCTGTTTTTACACTCGAGTTTAGTATGCTTCCAACACAAAGTGATCATGACAGGTATAGACACTAGCACAGTGGAACTACAAGCCTGCAGCTGCTGTTACAGAGAAGAACCAATGCATATGCAGCAATGCATTGCAAAGCTGGAGCCGCCAGAGATAATATTCTACTATTATGAGAAGCCAGGGAGTCGTAAATTCCCAGCATTTTACGACTCCCTGAGAGAAGTACACATGATGAGCTGTGTACACTGCGTGTGCTGCTATTGCACAAGTAAACTGCAAGTATTACTACGGTTGCCACATCAGTCAAAATAGAACTCTACATAGCAAACTAATAATAACATTCTAAAAGATCTATGCCGACACCACAATCTTCTTCAGTGTGTGTGTGTCCGTGTGTGTGTGTGTGTGCAGGTGGCAGGTACCGCCGGTCGGAGAGAGGTTTTCAACTCCACAGCTGTGCCAAATGTAACAGAACTCTCGCTGGACGCTAACCTGCGAAGCGTGCTGCGTACCGTACTCAACCTACATACCCTATGTCTGTTGGCCCCTCGTATGAGGGGACATGTGACCGTCTCACGGGTACGGCAATGTTCAGGACAAAGCAGGTGTGCATGTGCGTGTGGTACATGGTGTGTGTGTATGCAAAGTTAACGCTCAAAAGAACATGCACATGTACACGTAACTTGAATACCAGCCTAGCTACAAAGAGATCATCCTGACAAGCAAGTTAGTTGTACAACACGACTACTGCACCGCTGCTGTAGTGGTGAGCTCAGTCACATACTGAACTCTGCACAACGTCAGATGACTTATGAATGGTTCGGTTGCTGTTACTGATCTGAATATCGTCATGACAGTGGCTGATATCAAACACAGATACACGTGGCTGGTGATTTCAGAACGCTGAACTTCTTTCGCCTGCCTTTCAGAGGAACACCGGCAATCGTGGTGGAAACAGCGTACTCCCCGGCTTGAGTTGGGCGACACTTAGTTACCAGATGTCCAGTAGATGATTGTTGTAGGGGCTCGCACTGGACTGTCTTACCGTCCGAATTTGTCACACAAACTCCTACATCGATCTTCCTCAGCTGATCTTGGCTAATAGTAACAGGATCGGAAATTTCCTCTATCGCTATGTCGATCTCAACATCACTGCCCATCTTACACTTGTCAGAGCAATGCACTCTGCTCTTAGCTACATCAGCACAAAGACCAGCTTTCCTGATGCCAGCCACGAGATCACGTGTGTCGCTTGCCGCAAAGACGATGCCGCTCACAACACACGGCTCAGCATCACTCTTGCCAACCTCCGCTGCGCCGTTCAAGGCTGTCACTAGCCAAGACGACATGCGCACAAAGTCCACGCTGTCCTGGCAAGCATCCAGCATGCCCCTCACAACCTCTGTTCGTGACACACTGCCCTGCAGCCTAGTGATTTGCTTCTCCAGAGGTTCCAGTGCCTCAATTTGAAGATGACGAAGTTCATTCAGGACCATTGTTTCACGCTCTTGAATGGTTTCCACAAGAGAATGGAAAAATAGCCCGGCCTCTTCTGATGCAACCTCTATCTGATCATGAAGGTTACGAATGGAGGACTGCACTTTCTCAATGGAGCTCTCCAGAACGCCATCACTCTCAGACACACAGCTTAGCAACAAATCATTCACCGATGCTCTCATCTTTTCGGCTGTAGCATCGATTGACACAACATCTTGTTTGTGCTGCTCGTGTTTGCCTGTACCGATGCACTGTTCACATAACAGCTTTTTACACTTTGCGCAGAACTTGGTCAGGATACTACTTGGGTGCAGTGCACAGCGATGTTGTAACTGAGTAGTTGAAGCACCAGTAGCAGTAGCAGCAGTCTCAGGAACTGCTGCATCTAATGACAGTACATGTACCTCATGACCATGCGTAGCTCGGGAGCGCTTGTGTCCCTCCGTGTGTACACTGCACAGATGACTGCTGCATGTTGCACAGCGCGATACAGCCACTTTTACATCCATACATTCATCGCACGACACTGCAGACTTCTGCTCTGCACCACCACCCTCTACCAAGGCGTCCAAGCCATAACTATCAGGCAAAGACAGCATGGGGGAGCATCCAGCCTGCTGCAACTGTGTTGAAGCCCTACATTGAGGACACGTGATGCAGCCATCTTCGTCAACATTCTGCTCTAGGCACGATATGCACAGAGAGTGGAGGCACTGGACCAGTTTAATCCTCTTGTTTTCACAGCCACATGCTACACAGCTAACTGGAGGCATATCTGGCTGACAAAATACTATTCAATCTCAGTAGCTCAACAACCCAACTGCTCTCTAATTTTCTCAACACTCATCAAGCTGGCAAAGAGAGATAACATTGAAAATTTGCAACCTCTCTGTGATGACAATGCAGAATGAGGACCCACTACTCACTAGAAGAAAACAAAGCTTACCATACCTACACCAGGCTGTGTACCTAGTCCTAGTAGTAGTACTAGTACTTGAGAGTACGTAAATACTTGAAAAAGGTGTTTTAGTACAGCTTCATGCTGCATATGTAAGTACAGTAATACACAGGAATGATTGCTGCCAGGACGTACGTATAACAACACTGCATGTTCGGTGCGGCGACCATGAGTACTGCACACTGTCACTGTGCACTACACACGCATACACATCAGGCTGCGGTATCGTATTGCTATGTGTATTGTGCGTGTGGAATGGTCACTTGAACAAATGGTCACGAAACAGTTTGCACAGGAGCAATTTTAAATTATTTGATTTACAGTCTTCACGAAGCCAACTGTAACTTACCGGTACTTGCACTTACAGTTGTACTAGCATCTATGGCAGTGTTGGTTCCACTCTCCAATCGTCCACGCTTCAAGTTTCGTTTTCCCTAGACGATAATGTTCTATATTTGCTCCAAATTGCATCGTGGCTACGTCGTACAACGTAGCCCAAGAAACAGTACTGGGACGTGCACAGCCATGTGCTTGCGCTCTTATTTCCTCGTATCGCGTATTGTCGTCAGCTCTAGCTCAGTCGTTGCAGGCCGGTTGGGTATTCTTCCTCAGCAGCTCTAGCTCTGGTCTCTATCGATCTGGAAAGAAAAAGTAGTCTACAAGGGTTGTGAACCAAAAAATGGCACATGTATGTGGACCAGATATCCGCGCCGCGGATCGGGAAAGGGGAAAACCGGAATCCGATAAAAAATCCCCGAAACACTGCACATGCATGCAGCTAGAGTGCGGGTACCGTACAGACCAGTACAGTCACGTAGATCTACGAGTACACGGCTGTTACGGGGAGGTCACTTGGCAAGATGGCGGCGACCTGTAGCAACGCCCCTGGCAACAGAGGTCACACGGAAAGCGTGGGTACGCTCATCGCATTTTTCAAATTTTCATGATCATTTCTGCAGAAAGAAAAGGTTCTGTCACTTCGAATACTTGAAATAGTACTTTTATGGATTTCGTCTCTTCAGTCCCTTGCTCGTCAAAAAATGTTGTTGGAGGCAGCTGTGCTCCGCGAAGTGCAACGGATACCGCTCAGTAGCAGATAATGGAGATGTGCTTCGCAGGACTCTTTCGGAATGACGACCTGCGCCTCGGATCGGAGGAGAACTTTTTGTCAAGTTTACTCAATCTCCGGACAGCTATAGCTGTTTCGACCTTGTTAGGTCTCATCAGCGGAGTTCACAGTGTGTGTGGCCGAACAGATCAGCAAGAATTAGTATCAACCCTGTTACAGTGTTAGGTCTCATCAGGGGAGCTCAGAGTGTGTGGCCGAACAGATCAGCAAGAATTAATTTCAACCTTGTTACGTCTCATCAGAGGAGCTCAGAGTGTGTGGCCGAACAGATCAGCAAGAATTAATTTCAACCTTGTTAGGTCTCATCAGAGGAGCTCAGAGTGTGTGGCCGAGCAGATCAGCAAGAATTAATTTCAACCCTGTACAAGGAAGGACATGGCACTCGAGAAGGTGAAGCTTAGGAGTCACATTGCCTAACTTGCGTGCCAGAACCTCCGCTCTGCAGGTGGCCAATGCCCCATGAAGGTGTGGATGGCATCACCCAGAACCTGCCTTTTTGCTGTTGTAAAACCAGCTTGCGACATGCTGCATACTCTGTGAAGAGTCTCGAGTAGCGATCTCTCAAGGACTTTGCCTGGCCAAGCAGCTGAACCTCGCCGCTGTCCGCAGGTGTGCGGCTCTGCACGACTGTAAGGGGAACAGAAGTGAGGGCAGCAATGACATCCGGTTTCAACGCACGGTGTATGTGGTTGCCGACAAATGCTCCGGAGTGATATGCTTGCCGCTTTATTTGGTACTGTGGCAGTACTGCTTCCAAGGAAGTTACGCACGGGCCAGCTGCTATTTTTTATTCTTTTACTGTTAATTTCTCATGCTCTTTTCGAGCCACATCACCTCTCATTCATCAAATTGAGTTCCTTTTCTTTCTCCTTCCATAGGAAGTGCAGATTTGATGCCACAGTCTGCAAGACAGCAGCCACTACTTCCTGCTGCTGAATGTGCAGCGTCACACACTGCAGCTGCCTAAGAATGCTTTGTGCTTCTGACTGTAGGTGTAGTTGTTGTGTTGCTGTGTCGTGTACGTTCTTGTAGCGTCACAAACTGCAGCTGACTAAGAATGCTTTGTGCTTCTGACTGTAGGTGTAGTTGTTGTGTTGCTGTGTCGTGTACGTTCTTGTAGGCATTGATAAGTGCTGTAAACGCTGCAGAGTCACCATCATCTGCAGCAAGAAACATACATTTGCTCAGTGCAATATCGATTTGATGTGCGTCCGCACAAAGTGCACCGTAAATCCCTAGATCTAGGTGGAGCACAGGAATACACACGTCTTGCAGCTCAACAGGAAGAATGGCTTTTCTAATCACGTTGTTGTACCGCCGTGCGTGCTGTAAGTTGGCACCTGCTGCAACGAACTCTGTATTTAAAGAGTTCCGGCAGCAAGTCAGCAATTGCTTTGTATGGCGGTGATGCAATGTCGTACAGTTTCATCAGGGGAATATCCATGCCAATTGTTGCATCGTCTAAATGCAGACTTGATGGGGCTGGAGCTACATGCATATTCATATGCATGAGTTTTTTGGTCATCACACAACACATTAATACTCAGCACAGATTCAATGGCCTTCGCATGATCTCTCACAAGGTGCTGAGTTCCACGGCTAGTACTACACAACTTTTCACCGCCTAACCTGCATACCAGCTATAACTTTTCTTGGTGTTTTTCCATTTCAAATCCACTGAATAAATAACAATTTCCACTAAATGTTGCTAGAGATTTGGACCCAGCGGGGCCAACAAGGAATCAGCGGGGCCCCAGCAGTAACAAAAACCTGCTACACAGATACTCTTCTCCTCGGCAAAACTACCCTTGACGTGACGAAAACTCGTTGAGCACCTCAAGGAGGCAACAAACTTCGGTGACTAGAACGATCGAACGGCAACAACTTCAGAGACAAATTTCCATGAAGAATGGCTTTTCTCAGCGAAGGAAAGCTCAAATTCACTACTTTCTTCTTTGGCGAAGCATGGTCAGGATGTTGCGCAACTGTAGCCGCGAGGACAGCTCGACGCGGTGATCAGAAGTGGTGCTTTGGAGACCCAACTGAGCAGAGATTGCGTTCAAAATACACCTCCTTGAGTACAAATTTTGAACGTTGAGAACGGGAAAGTCCCGGGAAGCGCCATGTCCTGTACAAAAACCAAGTGGGCCCGTTTCGTACTGTCGTAACAGCCGTGGAGTAGTCGAGACGTAGAACGGTAGATCTACTGCCAGTACATGTAGATCTACATTGGAGACAGAGTGGAGACAGAGTGGAGAGTATGTGTAGTGTTTCTGAGTTCTTTCTGGTTCAAGTTGCCGAGTGGAAGGTTCGATGGACTTCTTGTGTGCTCTGGATGGTAGATCAACTTGGCAGTCGTGAACGTGAGTCAGTCAAGTGAAGTCGGCAGGAAAAGCTAGAGTTCCCACGTAGGGAGCAACACACCCCATGCCCAACACTACACTGTAAAAGTGTGACTGAAAAAAACTGCTTTTTATTTTATTTTATTTTTTTATTAGTGCAATTAGGAGTATAATCAAGAGTTCATGTACTCTTGGTATAATCGATGCAGACATGGCCAGACAACAACGAGTTCATGGAATTTTTAAGGATTTTTATGTTATTCAAAATCGATTTTCGTGTTCCGCTCATCAGTGAATAGTATCGGAACTGCACTGAGGGTACTGTGTACAAAAATAGAACATTTTATAACAGCATAATTAATTAAAAGTGTGAACAACAAAGGAAGTGCTACAGCATTACATAATACGTGTCAAACATAGTGCTAACGTATATAACTGAGTGCAGCCACAAAGCAAGAGGTGATACAGTGCAACATGACACAACATTTACATCTGATAACCAGCTACGAGAACAACTTTAGCGCGACTACGTGCTTCTTTTGTTTACAAAGAACAGGATTATGCACACGAATACATACAGCTTCCAGAACCTTCAATTGCTTAAAGGGGAAGTTAAGGCAAAAATTAAAATTTCACCAGTTGTAGTCTTCGGGGTGCTGAGTCGAATGGTCGTGGTCCGAGGAAGCTGAGACGCTCCCTTCCTACTTGAATCCCAATCGAACTCGCGCACTTCCACCGAAACTGGGTGACTGCGCCCTACTAGATGGGGATTTGTATGCAAAATGTCACTAAAAGCGCCATTTCGTTCTTATAAAAGCATGGATGACCGCGATTGGCCCATATGTTGTAGTCTTTTGGACGCTGAGTCGATTGGTTTTGGTCCGAAAAGGCTGCGATGCAGCGTTCCTCCTTTATTCCCAATCGAACATGGTTGAACAAGTGGTCACGTGCCCCTGCGTACGCCAGTCACCTGGTCACCGTGCCTGCAGGGTACAACTTACTAGCCTGTTTGACCTTTTTTGGGTGCAGTCCTGTCACTCGAGTTGAACCTTGGTGTGAAAGTTGTCGCCTGCTCACGGCTGTTACGGGGAGGTCACTTGGCAAGATGGCGGCGACCTGTAGCAACGCCCCTGGCAACAGAGGTCACACGGAAAGCGTGGGTACGCTCATCGCATTTTTCAAATTTTCATGATCATTTCTGCAGAAAGAAAAGGTTCTGTCACTTCGAATACTTGAAATAGTACTTTTATGGATTTCGTCTCTTCAGTCCCTTGCTCGTCAAAAAATGTTGTTGGAGGCAGCTGTGCTCCGCGAAGTGCAACGGATACCGCTCAGTAGCAGATA